CCTGCAATCCTAGCACAAGGGAGTAGAGGGGATCTCAGGGCCAGCTGGCTTCAGTGAGGGACTCTGCCTTCACACAGAGGTGGAGAGCAAATGGAGAAGACCTATTTCCAACTTCTGACTTCCACAAACCTCTCACCATGTGCCACCCCCCAACACACCCAATCAAAAAAATAAATTCAATATTCAGGACTCATGGAAGACTCCCCTAACCAGCCATCTTATTTTGGTTGATATTTAACACCACTGTATAACTTACTGGCCTTTTTGGGGCCAATGGTGGGCTGTCACTTCTTCTAACCTAGAGAGCACTCACCACCCCGAGTGGGCAGCTTTCAGAGAATTGGTCTCTAAAAATAAGTATTTTGCACATTTCTTTTAGCTTCTATCTCCATAAAGGCCTCCACAGATGGCTTCTTTACATCATGCTCTCAAATGACTAGCTGATAAATATTCATACTTATGGAAATTGTATTGTACACATTCCAACCTTCAGCAGAGAACATTTGTTTTATTCTGTCTCTCAGGGGTGGTGCCCTTTATTCAGGTTTGTCCTCTGTGAATGCACACCCTCAAGTGCTGGCACACACCACACACACACACTCTCTCTTGCTTCTAGGGCAGTGGCTCATAAGCAAGGGTGATCTTGTCCCTCAGGACATCTGGTAATGTCTGTAGATATTATGGGTAAACCACTGAGGCTGATGAAGCGTGTCACTCCTGAGAGATGGCCAGTGAGATGAGGCACACTGTTGAACAACCCACAATCACCAGGTTGGCCACTATCACCAAGAATGATTAGAGTCAGTAACAGTACTACTTAGACCAGGGCACCCAAAGTGAGGCTGTAGATGTGGGGAACACAAACAATACTAAAAGGGGTTAGGTCAAAGTAAACAAGTTGGCGCAAACACAAAAATGGAGAAAGCTCAATATGAAGATTAGGCTAGTTATTTTAATAAAAGTTCAAGTAATTATCATTCTTATCTTTTTAGTGGTACTAGGGGCTGAGCCAAAGGCTTCAAATATGCTAAGCTGCACTCAACCACTGAGATGCTCAGCATTTCTTTCTTTCCTTTTTAAAGACAGGGGTTGTTTTTATGTAGTCTAGGCTAGCTTTGAATTCGCTATGTAGCCCATGCTAAATTCCAATTGAAGAGCTTCCTGGTTTGACCTCCCAAATGCTGGAAATCACTTGTGTGTAATTGCTACTATTTTTCTTCAAAGGAAGTTCAAGGTCAATTTTATTAAAATTTGAAGGAAACCCCCCCCCCAAGTAGGCAAGCTGTCAATACACACGATGTACACAGAAAGCCATGTCATTTAGCCAAACGGTGGGCAGGGGAAGCTTCTGCAAAACAGTGACGCTCAAAGTATTGGGCGAAAGAAACATGCTTATAAAACAGAGAGGAACAGTTTGCTTTCCTAAGCACAGCAAGGAGCTCTGCAAGCAACTGGGCTGGGAGGCAAGAATCCAGGGACAATTATTCCTCCTCCTTTTTGGCATGGATTAAGGTATCAAATTTATTAGCTACATTTAAAAAAAAAATCTTAGCCAGGCGGTGGTGGCGCACGCCTTTAATCTCAATCTCAACACTTGGGAGGCAGAGGCAGGCGGATCTCTGTGAGTTCAAGGCCAACCTGGTCTACAGTGTGAGTTCCAGGACAGGCTCCAAAGCTACAAAGAAACCTCAAGAAAAGAATTTTTTTTCCCTTTTTGGTTTTGACACAGGATTTCTCTGTGAAACAGTCCTGGCTGTCCCAAAAGTCACTTTGTAGACCAAATTGCCTTGAACTCATAAAGATAGATCCACCTGCCTCTGCCTCTTGAGTGCTGGGAAGAAAGGCATGTGCCACAGCCTGGCTTAACAACAACAACAACAACAAACCTTATTGTATGGAAGGGTGTGGATGAAGCAGGCTCTCTTCACTGTTACAGAGCTCAGGATTGAACTCAGGCTGCCAAGACTGGCAGTCACTTTTATCTGCTGCCCATCTCACTGTCCCCACTTTTTAACTTTTCTTAAAAGCCCCCCCCCCCACCCGGGCTGGAGAGATGGCTCAGAGGTTAAGAGCACTGGCTGCTCTTCCAGAGGTCCTGAGTTCAATTTCCAGCAACCACATGGTGGCTCACAACCATCTGTAATGAGATCTGGTGTGCAGGCAGGCATATATATAATAAAAAATTTTTTTTCGAAGATTTATTTTATGCTGGGCAGTGGTGGCTCACGACTTTAATCCCAGCACTCAGGAAGCAGAGGCAGGTGGATTGGTGAGTTCGATGCCAGCCTGGTCTACTGAGCAATTTCCATGACAGGCTACACAGCAAAAAAAAAAAAAAAAAAAAAAAAAAAAAAATTACGTGTGTTTTGCTTGCAAGTGTGTAAGTGTGCCAGTACACACTTGGTGGCCTCAGGTCAGAGGAGGGTATTGAGTAGTCCCCTGGAACAGAAGTGGCTGTGAGCTGCCATGTGGGTGCTTGGAAGCAAACCCAGGTCCTCCGCAAGAGCGACCAGTGTTCTTGGCGTCAATCTCTCCAGCATCACATTTTAAACTGTTTAAAAATTATCACTTGTGGGCTGGAGAGATGGCTCAGCGGTTAAGAGCATTGCCTGCTCTTCCAAAGGTCCTGAGTTCAATTCCCAGCAACCACATAGTGGCTCACAACCATCTTAAATGAGGTCTGGTGCCCTCTTCTGGCCTGCAGGCATGCATACACACAGGCAGGACATTGTATACATAATAAATAAATAAATAAATATTTTAAAAAAATTATCACTTGTTTTGTGTGCACATGAGGATGATTTTCTGGGGACTCAGTGGTATGCACCTTTACCTGATGGGCCATCCTTGGCTTTACTAAGAACTGACAGTTTCATTAGTAGTCCTTGGTGGCATGAAACTAGCTAAGTAGACCAGGCTAGCCTGAAACTCACTGAGATTCACCTTCTTCTGTGGAATTAAAGGTATGGGCAACATCAGAATTTCCTGTCTTCAAACATTAAAGTTTTGAGTAAAAAATTTAATATTCCTTTTGCCATGTTCAATTAATGCTGTGACATGTATGTGCCAGATTAAATTCCCCTAAACACATCACAACATGTAGAAATTTTAAATTCTCACACATTTCAAGTTACACATACAACCCAAGCTGCCCTCTAATTCGGCCTTCCCTCTGGAGTACTGCGATTACAGCCAGCCTGTACCACTGCACCCAGATTGTGTGCCGCGCCCCCCATTCAGAAAAGCCATGCTCTAAAACATTGGCTTCAGAGGACAGGGTTATACTATTTGGCTCAGGCTGGCCTTGAAACCTCAGCAATTCTCCTAAACCTTTTGAGTGCTGGGAATATAGGCTTTTGCCTATAATCTACCTAGACTCTAAAACCCCGCCTGTGAGGTGGCTGGAGGGAGCGAGAGAGGGAGGGAGGAAAGGAGGAGGAAAGAGAGGGAGAGAGGAAGGGAGGGAGAGAGGACAAGCGAGAGCCAATGCTTCCTGCTCTTCTAGTGAACTGGCATCAACACCAGCTCCCTGGGCTCTGACACCCTTTTCTAGCCTATGGGTACTTGTATGGATGCATGTATACACTCAGATGAGTAAAAAAAAATATATCCTTATGAAAATTGGTGTTTTGCCTGCATGCAAGTCTGCCTGAGGGCATCAGATCCCCTGGCACTAGAGTTACAGACAGCTCTGAGCTGCTATGTGGGTCCTAGGAATTGAACCCGAGGAGCAGCCATTGCTCTTAACCACTGAGCCATCTCTCCAACCCCCAGAATAAATCTTTTATTTAAAAGACTTAATTATTATAAATAGTGTTCTGTTTCCCTGCACGTCAGAATAGGGCACCAGATCTCACTAGGGATGGTTATCGGTCACTATGTGGTTGGTGGGAATTGAACTCAGCACCTCTGTAAGAGTAGTCAGTGCTCTTAACTGCTGAGCCATCTCTTAACTCCTAGAATAAATCTTAAAAAATAAAAAAAAAAATCTACCCTTAGCTCCAAGTTTCTTCTCCCTTCCACTCTTGGCAGAGGGGATGAATGGCAGGATTCAACATTTGACTTAAGTAGGCACTGAAACTTGTAGGTCTCTGACCTCTGTGCCGCCTCATCTGTAAGCTGAGGGCAAGGAACTTGAACTTGTTATGAGGACTTTAAAATGCTGAGATGGGTAACAGACACACACACAGAGCACAAGTGACCCACTGGCACACGAAACCACTATGACTCCCAATTCTCTAACTAGATGAGACTCCTGCGCCAGTGCACATTCATGTGCATGGTCCCCAGTCCCTTCTGTCCTATGTACTAGCATCCCATTCTGCTCTCCCATGGTAGCTCACTGGTCTCTTTCCAGGACCCTCAGCGCATATTCCTGAGAAGTTTCCATTAATTCCTACAAGGTCTTGTTGCAAACTGCCCCTACCCATGAGCTATTCCAAACTGGGAACAGCAAAGAGTCCCCAATTGTTTAAACATTTTCTATGTAACTATTTCAGGCACCAATCTCATAAAAATTACTCTGAAGAGAATTTCATCTCTTATGAACAGAGAAAGTTCACCTGAAAACTACAGTTCTGACCAAGTAGACAACCTAGAGAGCACTGAGCACTGGCTCCAGCTCCACAGACAGTGTTTCACTGTCCACACTCCCTGCTTAGACTCAGATAGACAGCTCTGGGGTGCAGTTTAACCACTGGGCACTGAAGCCCCAACCTCTTGTGGCTGCTGTTTGCCTGTGCCTTTGCAGCCAGTGTCACAGCCCGGGCTTACCCAATCAACCAATAATAGCACACAGGCAAGTCAATACCCACCTTATAGTGCCCTCCATGATTTAGCCTCTGTGGTTACAGGCCTTTTTGCACACGCTAGGCAAGTATTCTATCACCTGACCTTTTCAAAGTGCCAACATAAAAACTCTTGTCAAGGGACAACAGACTTTGAGGTGAGTGAGGTTAATGACACAGTGCAACAGGTACCCCGAAATCACACAACACCAGAAAGAAAAGCATATTTAATTGTTTAATTTTATTTAAGAATTTTACAAAAACAGAAAACAAAATCCAAACAAAAATGAAAACCAAAACCACAACCAAAACCTAAATACAGAGTTCTTTCAGTGTGAAGATTGAGTGTTTCTAGTCAAGGTGAATGTACCCTGATCAGTGAAGCCGATACACTTGTATTGCATGAGACTGAATTTGAAAGTTACATATAAAAATGACGGCAGCACTCGGTCTGGACACTCGGGAACAGGTTCCCAGGAGAGGCTGAAGGCAGCAGTGTGGCATCATGGGAACAGCATTTAGCCTTCATTCAGATGGACACTCCTGTGCAGAGCAGCAATACAAGAGAGAATTTGAGGACAACAGAAGCCACCCAAGAGTTTACATCCTTCTCTGTTTCAGGTCTTTGGACTCTTTCGGATGTTCCCAGACGCACCGTGTCAGATGAGGAAGACCAGCGCCTACATATAAATACCCTTTGCATAAGGAGGTAGAAGCTGGCACGAGTTTTATTGCAGACACAGCACACCTCTCCCACCCCGCATGGTTGATGACAGAAGTGGTTATTGAGAAGCAGTAATAGTAGTTTGCAAATTCAGTAAAAACTATGAACAGGGGGATTTTTTTTTTAGAGTGGTGAAGCTGCACTGTGCTATGTTAAAACATGAAAATGGGCTCCCTCATCCCATCAAGTAAGCCAGAAGCGGCTCAGGTTTCTTTACCCTCCTGAGCACCACAGTCACTGCCTTGGCAGCAAGGTCCTCCGTATGCATCTGTCTGCACAGGTTTACACGGTGCTTGGGGTGGGGTCTGGGATAGAAGGCCAGAAGCAGAAAGGCCAGATTAGCTCTCCCCAAGGGATTTCCATGCTGTCCCTCAGCCAGGGTGGCCTGAAGTGCAAAAAAACCCAAAAGGCAGCCGCCACCTCTTCTTTCTCCACACTGTGTATCTCACAGCTAACTGTTTGCTGTACAGCTTCTAACTATACCCTGCTATATCCCTTGCACATGGCTGGCTGCTGCTGCAGGACACAGGTCAACTATGTCTCAGGCACCAAAGAAAGGGAAATAGGGTAAGGGGGGAATTCCTGCTGGAGCACTTTGACAGATCTTCAACCACGACAACTAAGTTCCAAAGACTCAGCCAAATGTAGGCAATTTTCAAAGTGTCATCAAGTCTACCAAGCTGAATATTCACTGAAATCTTTCCTGAGAAATTACAGAGGACATTTTTTGAGGGTACAAAGGTCTGTAAATAAAACATCACTCCTGCCCCCTAGGTGAAGGTCAGCAACATCTCCAGGACCCCACTGCACCTTCAGTACCAGCACCAACCTCACAAAGCTCAGCTCCTCTGCTTACAACTTTTCCTGGCAGGGGTGAGACTCTAACACGGACCTGTCATATATGCTGAAGGCTGTTGTAGAAGGGATGACAACTGTTTTCTGAGGTCATCTGTCATGTACTAAGCTCATCTGACCACTAGAAACATTTGTGACCAGTTATATAAAAATCAGATTACTGGTGTTTGCCATAAAGTCATCTGTTTGTCACAGAAATCCAACTTCTTATACATAGGAAGCCTGTAGCCAGGCCACAAACCACTGGAGCAGGCCTCAATAAAGGCAGGAGTCAGCCAAGCTGCTAAGGAGCTGAAGGGTGGTCTAGAGAAGCAATGGTTTTGCTTTCTTTCTGAAATAGGAAAGGAGCAGGCTCACTACAGCTTCTAGAGAACAAAAAGCACAACCAGTCACACAGTGACAAGATCAAGAGTGGCACTTAGGTACAGCCCAAGACAGCACAGCCAGATGTGTAGGCACCTGGACTCCTACAGCCACGAGGCAAAACTGAACTCTAAAAACAACCACTGACTCAGCTGAGCTTTCCACAGCTTCCTACATTGGAAAAAAAAAAAAGCACTAAGATGCCCCATATGGGGGTCCAGAAAAGAATAAATAGGAGGGAAAGGAAGAGGGGGTGCAAGAACGAGTGAATGGGGCCCCGATTTACAAGATTTACACTTGAAACGTAGAAGAACTCCGCTTCTCTATACACTCATATGTACATATATAAGTATAGCATACAACAGAGGGTGGGCACTCAGAAAAACTGCCACCTAGTCAAGCTGCATCTCCATGTTTCTCTTACTTACAGGACCCATTTGCCTTAGATGGCTAGTCTTGTGAGAGATTTTCTTGCAAATGGTTTTTGTCTTAGCCGCTGCAGCCATGACAGGGAAGATGTGTGCCAAAGCACCTATGTGGTGTGTGTATGTGTATGCTGTTCACCAGAGTCCACACACATAGGAAGGACGCTAACAAACACCATCACAGCTTCTTTTGCCATGAGTATGCCTCCCCACATTTACTGTGTGGCTTAAGAGCAGCTTTTCTGGGACACTATTCCTAGGGAGTGCCAGAACCCATAAAGATCCCTTTATAAAACCAGGATTCCTGGACAAAGTCTCACGGGACGAGAATGTTCTACCTGCTTTCAGAAGTGAGCCACAGGGGCCCTGTGCTAATATGGGAAGTGGAGGACAGTTCCATGGTGTGTCCTTGATCCCCTTCTCTGGTTTCTCAGAAGTTATTCTAATAACATGGTATGGAGATTAGCAAATAAATGTCCCAGAGGCATAGCCAAAACTGTGGCTCTAAAATACTTAGCTCCTCCGGAGTTTGGTAATCTACAACTTTTCTCTCCATAGACAAAGCAAATTACAAGGTTTATTGTTGCAACTCAAAAAGGTTTAAGTGCTGAGTAAGAATAAATACATGTATGTACACACTACAGCTACTACAGTGCTTTGGATACAAGTCTTTGCTAATCTATATACACAGGAAAAAGCAGACACTGAAAGCAGGTCTGCACTTTAGTAGCAAAAAGAGAGAACTGCTCAACCTGCTTAGCTTCTGATAACTGTGTTCATATAAACACTTTAATACTTCTCTGACTCTGCACCTACAGCTCTCTGACTTGACCACAAAGAGGGCAAGCTTGTGGCACAGAGGTTGTTAGGGGAAGGAGCCATGACCTCTCTAGCAAGAATACCTGAGCAGCATGGAACCTGGGAGTGATTTTTCAGCATGATGGGGAGTGTAAACTCTGAAAACACTGGTGGTCAACGATAGGATCTGCTGCTCAGAGCTCTATTGCTTAAGTGGGAGAAAAGGCATCACAGAGGCCCAGGACTTCCTCTGGGTAGAGTTAAGTGAGGCCCCTGGACACAGATGTGGTATTCAGATCCTGTGGGAGACTGGACCCACTTTATATGACAGTGGCTGAAAAGACTTGAATTTTGACACAAGAAACCCTTGAATGCTGGCGCTTTCCTGGTGACTGAAATAGACGTAATGATTTTGTAGGGGCATGGTGTAGACAGCACATGCTTGCTCCCTTCCAGAGGGGTTGGGCACCAACCCCAGGTGTCACAAACACTGCAGTGGGCAGAGGCGACTCTGCTTCCGCTCTCCCACACCACTTGCCTTTTCAGTGCTTTGAAAGGGCCCTTAGATACCTAGTATTTGTGGGTCTTTTCTTACTAAACAACAATGATGAACAGAACACAGACCCCTTACCAAGACTTGGCTGCTTCAAGAGCACGTCATAGTGACATCACTGGGTGAGGTGTTCACTAACCATATGCTAGAGAAATCCGATAGGTGCCGCTCTGAAAGCAGCAGAAAAGTCAGGACCCACCAAACAGCCACCTGCACGTGCAAGGGGGCTGGCATCAACAGCCTACAACACAGCATCTTTCCCATCCTCTACAATTTGGTCACACGGAAAAAGTGAATTAAGTTACAAAGTCCTTCCTTGGCTTTTATCTTAATATGCCAAAGGAAGCAGAATGGTCCACCAGTTCAGAAACAAGAGCTAAGAATCTGTGAAAGGGTCACAATTCTACTCTGGGTGGCCAGCTGAATCTAGGCCACGAAGGGATACTGCTTGATGCTCATGAGATCACTGCCTGAGATACATGGAATGAGGATAAAAGTTGCATCCACTGGGCAAAATGTGCCCAAGAACAGAAACCAGTCTCCATTTGTTCTTTGAGGCACTAAGAATAAATAAATCTGAAACAATGTCACGGTAAACTTAACCAAAGAAACTGGAGAGAATGAGAGCCCCAAGCGCTCCATCAGATTTCTGTTACCACACACACCTCACCCAATTTTTTGAGAAGTTTAAAAAGTTACAAAGAGAACAATTCAACTTGAAAAACATTCAAAAGTACCATCATTTACCCCGTCCTTAAGATCACTTCAGATTTCAGGAACGGGCTTCAGTCAGACTCTAAGGCTACCTTGGAAGGCTAAGGCCACACCGAGTTCTACAGAGCCCTGCTATCTATGCCTGGAGTCCCCAGTGAGGGCCTAAACAAGAGTCCACTTCATTAGTACAATAACTTTTTTATTCAACATCTACAAGATTTTGATATCTTGTAGTTTTTAACCAGATTTATACAATCTCAACTTTTCAATAGTGCAACCTGTGCAAGCAAAAAAAGGGTAGAAAAAAATGGGGGAAGGGGAGGCTGGGAAAATAAAAACAAAAAGACCAACTGTCCCCTCACTGTTTTTTATAAACATCTATTATAGGCGAAACAAACTTACCCATGTTGTAGATAAGTGTCTATTCACATTTGTACATTACCATTTTTAACAGCTGGAGATAATCTCTACAATGTCTTACAGCACATTAAACAATATTCAAGTTACTGGGTAACAACAACAACAACATACAGCAGAAGCCAAGTGTTTTCTCACTGTCTAGTTTACAACTCAAGTACGGTTTCCGGTTTGAATGACCAAGCAGATTCAGATAATGAAGTAAAAAAGATTGTGTGCAGGATGGAAGCCAATCATACTCCTTCCTAAAACGATGTTTAAGTTAAGGAAAACATAACTTACGAAAAGGCTCATAGCCATTTTGCAGCACAAATTAGGAATACTATTAATACATTAAAATACAATTTTAAAGAGTTTTATCACAATAAAAGGTATGTACTTACTACTTTGACAAGAAACCTGGGACAGGGAGGAGTGGGCAGGACTGAGGGTTAGAAGCAACACCCAGGTAAACACTAGAAATGCAATACCCAATGCTGTACATCTTCAATGCTTCTCTCCATGTGACTTCTGTGGTAATCGTGATTACACATGCTTTCAAAGACATGCACTGTCAACAAAAGCTACAAAAGAACCTGAATGCATGGCACGTAACCCTTCACTTCATGCTGTAGGAAACATTGTTTAAGTTGGAAAAGAAACCAATATATATATATTCTGTATTTAGAGACTTGGAACACATGCATCTGGGGAACTCCCACAGTAATGACAAGGATATACTGTGTTAACCCTGAGCACTGTAGAAAGGAAGAGTAAAGCCAGTTTGGGAAGTTCCAAGCATTTTCAACCAAATGTGGTCTTGTAGCATTAACTCACAGATAGACTGATACATACGCACACGCGCGCGCGCACACACGCATACACACACATATTCACTCTGCTCATCCAAAGTAAAAGCGCACAGGCAGCCCCAAGGAAGCAAGAGGAAAGACACATGTACCCTCCACTCTGCTTGCTGTCAGCGTTGCTGCCTATTCCAGGTTTGTCCTTAACCTGCCCCCACCCCAAATTAACTAGAGAGCACAACTGAAAAAAAAAAGATAGAATTCTTTGGAAACTGTCCCTGATTTTTATGCAAGTGGTATGCTCTCACAGCATTCAACACCATGTGGAAGCTGCTGCTCTTTACGAGTTGCTCAAGTTGGTGATGCTCTGTGGGTGATGCTGCTGCCACAGCTGTTTTTGTTGGACCGCCAGCTGCTGAGACTGGTCTGAAGTTGACAGGAGATTTACAAGAGGAGACACACAATTTGCTGGAATGATCAAACCTGTAATTAGCAAGAAGAATCTATGAAGTAGAGTCCAGCAGAAACCACTATAGTACACCTGAACAGAGGACTGCAAACCTGCCTCCCCCAGAAACCACATAGGCGAAACACTGGACTCAAGCTGTTCCTAAGAGGCTCCCAGATGCACACATGCATGCAGGCACGCTCCCAGTGCAACACCATCTCCTGATGAAGTATGCAGCACACTACTTTCCCATCTACCACTGCACAGCTTCATCAGCCCTATAGACACCAAGCCTTCTTCCACTCAGTAAGGTGCAAAATGACTCAAAGACAAAGGGTAAAGTGTACACCCTAATCGGCGAGAAAGGTAGAGATGGACACAGAACAGTACAAGGGAAAGTGGAGGCACAGGTACTAGCTAAGGGAATCCCAGTTCTATTCTGTGGGAAATCTGAATTCAATGTAGCAGCTAAGTGTGCTTTTTTTTTTTTTTAAAAAAAACAAGCAACTGGAAACTCATTTATGTGAAACTTACAACCACAACTACCTGAGTGGAAAAAAGTTCACTAAACTGGGAAGTAGTCTTCCCACTACAGAGAGGTGGTCAGTAGGAACAGTGTAGCAACAAGTGCACTTGTAGGACATCTATAGTTGACCACAGTGCTCTGACCCAGCCTGCTGCCCCAACTTCTGCAGGACTCAAAGCTTGCCACTGTGCTGTGGCCTGAAGCTGCACAGTCTCAGCCTGGCTGAATGCATCACCCTGGGAAAGAGGGTATGTAATCTCCAGAGCAGAGAGTGGCAGAGAATAATGGGCAAGAGAAGTTGAGAGCAGTGCCAGAGACAATACTACCAAGATCACAGCGTCCACTACAAGGCTCAAGAATGACTGGATATGTATGGTGGAACCTGCCTGTGATCCCAGCACCTGAGGGAGTGGCAGTGGGTGATTCAGACACATGAGTTTGAAGACAAAAATCAGGCTAGCAGGGTGTTAGTGGATCTGATTTGCCCCCTACAACCAAAACAAAAAAGCTTACCTACAATCCGCTGTCCATCTTCTGTTCTTAGCCGCACTATCTGCATTTTCACATTTGTGCCACTGACAGAGGCCAGAACTCCCTCCACTTTTGTCCAGACGCTCAGAACTGAGCCACATAACACATAGTATGTGCGGCAACGGAGACCTATCTCACATACCAATCCTAAACTTGCTTTTTTACAATTGCCACGCCTAGGAAACACGGAAGGAGAAATATGTATAGAAACATGCATACACATGAGCAATCTGCAAAGTCTAGCCATGTATCAAGTGAAAAATAATTCTATGACGTTTTCCTAGGACATCCCCTGGGCTAAGTTATCCTTTCCAAATCTGACATGTCACAATTACTCCTGCAAGTTCAGCTATACTCAAGAATGGCCTTCCTACTCACTTGGTTACTATCTACACACTTCTGACACTGCAATGTCCCGTTTCACCCGCCAGTTGATGCTGTGTCAGTGAAGCACTAGTGTCTGCTTCAAGTCTGACTAGTGGAAGACACAGTAACTGGAACATAAATAACACAGATAAATATAAGGATTAAGATAATGAGAAAAGGGAGGTTACAGTACAGCCAAACATTTCCCGGTTCATCGACAGATGTACCTAAATAAATTTAAGAAAAATAAAATGGACAGGGAGGTACTTCCAGAATAGGCACTACCTGAGCTTGAGTCCCAGAATCTAAATAGAAGTGGAAGGAGAAAAGCAACAGAGTTGTCCTCTGACTGCCATGTGTGTGCCTCATAACAATACTATACAAGTATGTGCACACATAAATATGCAATCAATTTTTTGAGATTTTATGTTTACTTCTATGTGCATGGGTGTTCTGCCTCTATAGTGTCAGTGAATCATGATGCTGCAGTGTCTGAGGGGGTCAGAAGGCAGCATGGGAGCCATGAGAGCTTGTCTAAGTTACAGGCAGTTGAGTCCTTGGACATTGGTGCGAGTAATTGAACTTGGGTTTCCTAGAAGAGCAGAAGGCATACTGAACCATCTCTCCAGCCCCCAACCTCTGCCTTTTTGTTTGCCTGTGACAGGGTTTTTCTGTGTAGCTCTGGCTGTTGAACAGGTAGGCCTCAAACTCAGAGATCTGCCTGTCTCTGCTCCCAGGTACTGGGATTAAAGGCTTGTATCAGCATGCCCGCTCTCCAATTCCCTTATTGCTTCTTTTCATTTGTTTATATTGAAGCAGGGTCCTGCACATTCTGCCCTCAAGTCTGAATTCTCCTGAATAATAGGGTTGCAAACATGAACTACCACGCCTACCCAGTAAGGTTTTATGTTTTGTTTTTTAAAGAAAAAAGAAAAAGGGACACAGTGACAAGCACCTATAATCCCAGTACTCAGGAGAATAAGAAAGGAGTAAGTCAAATTCAAGGCCTGGGAGTACGTTTCCAGGTTAGCATGAACTAGAGTAGATACCCTGATTCAAAATAAATAAATAAGTAAAGAAAGGAAAAAAGCCTAACAGGTAGCACATGCCCAATACCAACGCTGGGGAGGCAGAGGAAAGCAGACCTCTGTAAGTTCAAGACCAGTCTAGTCTACAAGAGTGAGTTCCAGGGCAGCCAGGGCTACATAAGAAAACCCTGCCTAAAACAAACAAACAAACAAACAAACAAATAAATCAAATATTAAGAGGGAATGAGGGGGAGAAAAAGACCAACAATTTCTATCAGAGGGATGGTAATTAAAGCTATGCTGCTAGACACTGGCTCCTTGCTAATAACAAAGCATGAAGAAAATGCAGGTGTCCCCTCCAACAGCGCCTGGTCCACAAATGTTACCTACACATTATCTGTTGTTGTTAAGTCAGGGTCTCAAGGTAGCCTAGGCTGGCCTCAACTTCCTGTATAAATGGCTTTGAACTTCCCAACTGTGGGATTATAGGCCTTGACTACCATGGCAGGTCTCTAAATATCATCTGATGACATGAACTCTCCCTACGTTAGTCAAGTTGCTCATTTGCTCACAATCATATACTCATAGAGAATAAAAATGGGACATTGCAGCTCATGTACAGTTCCTGAACTTGGGAGGTACATGGAATAGAATCACAAGGGTACACAGAGAGATTCAGCACTGCTCCACACAAAAAATAGGTGTCTTTCAATCTTGATTATACTTAAAAAAATGTGAAGCAACATGAAAGCACTAACCAGTATGCATGAGTACAGGTGTCTGCAGAGGAATTATACTGATCCAGCCAGTGTACCAGGGCATCTTCAGAGACTACCTGCAAAGACAAAGCAAAATCCCACTGATAAACTGAACACCTGACCTGGTCACTAATTCCAGAAGCAGTCAAGAAAAAAAAAAAATCATCTTCACCAGAAACCCTAGCCCCCACTCGCAGTGATATAAACACCACTGCTAGCTGAGGCCCTCCTGAGATAAGGCGCGCAGAGAGCTAGTTGAATACAATTACTTCCACAAAGGTTAAGGTAATCCTTTGAGAAAGTCTGTAAGTAATGTTGGAAAAAACAGACATTGACTATTTTCTGGAAATGTGTAGGATAAAAACATATAGCATGCTCACGACAAATCAAAAGCTGGTAGGAAGGACCTCCCCACACTAAACCACTGCACTGTGCCCTGGGCATGGAGAGTCATGCTCATCTTGTCTCAATAGGCAGTAACATCAAAACTGCAACAGCAATGTGTAAGAAAACTTGCTCTTATCATAAAATCACCATCCTTGGGCCCAGGATTTGCAGCCAACACAGGTCCCTACCATGAAGCAAGCATTCACACACCACGTGTGAGAAAATACCTTCTTATATTTCTTTTTCAGATCAGCATAAATTTCTAATTTGAGTTGTTTCCCAGTGTTTGGTCGGTATATTAAAAATAGTTTCTTCTTAGGGTTTACTTCTTTAACTAAGATTGCAGTTTTTTTGTTGTTTCTTATCTATTAAAAGAACAAATGAAAAAATATGTAAGAATTTGATCCTACACAATTAAAAATATTCTATCATAACATCACAGCAACAAATTCATTAATTCAAACGACAACAGCATGAGGTGGAGGTGGCGCACACCTTTAATTTCGACACTCAGGAGGCAGGGCAGGCAGAACTTGTAGGGCCGGCCTGGTTACAGAGTGAGTTCCAATAGAGTCAGGACTGTTACATAGGAAACCCCTGTCTCAAAAAACAAAACAAACCAAACCAAAAACAGCTAAATGTATAAGTATGTAACCACAAGCCTACATGTAAGGTTTTAACCTGAGAGAACGCCACTAACTGATCAGAGGAGATCATAGGAGTAAGACAAGGTTCAAGGAGTACACTTGATGGAGGTGGGTCTTATATCTTATCTGTTGCTTTTATTGGTTAATAATAAAGAAACTGCCTCGGCCCTCATAGGACAGAAAATTAGGTAGGTGGAGTAAACAGAAGAGAATGCCGGGAAAAAGAAGCTGAGTCAGTGAGTCGCCATGATTCTCCCTCTCCAGACAGACGCAGGTTAAGATCCTCCCTGGTAAGCCAGCTCGTGGGCTACACAGAATATTAGAAATGGGTTAGAACAATATGTAAGAGCTAGCCAATAAGAAGCTGGAACTAGCCGGGCCAGGCAGTGTTTAATAGAATACAGTTTCCGTGTAATTATTTCGGGGCATAACCTAGCCATGCGGGCGGCTGGGTGACGGGGACGCAGCCCCGTTCTTATTTCAACATACACTCTAACTGCCCAATGCTCCCACAATACAGAAATACAACTGTTTTTACAATGAGAATGTGTGGGGCTGCAAAGACGGCTCACTAGTTGAGAGGACCTGGGCTTGGTTAACAGCACCCTCATGGTGGCTCACAATTGTCTGTATGTAACTCCAGTTCCAGAGGGATCTGATGCCCTGCCTGACCTTTGTGGGCACCAGACAAACTTCGCTAGACAGATACTCATAGAAGCAAAATATTCTATGTAAAATTAAGCCTGATACGGCATTCACAGCCATACACAATAATAAATAAAAATTTTAATGTTTAAGGTGAGCCAGGCATGATCATGCACTCCAGAGGCAGATGCACAGTGATCTGTGAATTTAAGGCTAACCTAATCGACAAAGAGATTTTTACAGGACAAGTCAGGGCAACGTAGTGAGGTCTGTGTCACAAAGAAAGAAAACTTGAAGCCCCAAAAATCAGCAAAAAAAACCAAGAAGCAGCATGTTAATTCCTGATAACACTTTGAAGAAATTCCAATTCTTACTTGCAGTGATAAGTAAAAGCCATCATCTGGTCCTGTCAGCTCTGCCCAAATCTTGGTTGCTTCCTCCCAAGACATTCCCCTCTCCACACTAATCTGTAAAAGACACAGAGATTGGAATGCAGCTCATGTGTGTGGACTAGTGAGCAACACGCACTTTCTAGACTTACTGTGTATAGCTCTACGTGGCCAGAGGTGGAGTATCCTGGAGTCAGAAACTTCTTTACATCACTCTTCCTCACCTTCTCATCTCCAGAACCCAGATCTTCAGAAAGAAACAAGATGTATAAGTGGGGAGATACTCTGGACAAGGACCACAGACAGCACGAGAGTGTCCCCACTCACCTAAGATTCCCATGTCATATCTTCCATTCTTCTTGGCATTCTGAACAACAGCAGTAAGTGTGTCTGCAAAATACTGAAACAACGCATTCTGCTGATGTACCTCCATGCCCAGAATTCTGTTTAAGAATTTTCCTATATTGTTATAGTCTGCAATGACAAGAATAGATGAAAATTTCCATTAATTTTTTTTTTGGGGGGGTTTTCGAGACAGGGTTTCTCTGTAGCTTTGGAGCCTGTCCTGGAACTAGCTCTTGTAGACCAGGCTGGCCTCCCAGAGATCCGCCTGCCTCTGCCTCCCAAGTGCTGGGATTAAAGGTGTGCGTCACCACCGCCCAGCTTCATATAAATTAATTTTTTTCCTTAGCTAAGCAAACCTCCAAAGTCTCACTTCCAGGTCTAGTCTTCCTCCCAAATTTTGCAGTGTCGTTAGAGTATAGGACTCTAGTACCGAACCTGCCCCTTCCCAACTTTGGACACCAACCACCAACAGTTGCAAAACAAGCTTAAGACAGTCAAACTGACTTTTTGTACCTTCTACTTTTCTACGAATATAATTTAGTATATAAGAATATTGGTTCACCAACATCAAATCTTGTCTTATATTATATTACATCCCAGGATGACCCGGAACTTGCTATGAAGCCCAAGAGGGCTTTGAATTCACAATCTTCCTGCTCTGCCTCATGAGTGCTAGAATCACAGGCACCTTTGTTTTATTTTTTCTCTTCCCCAAGACAGAGTTTCTCGGTGTAACAGTCCTGGCTGTCCTGGAACCCACTTTATAGACCACAGCAGCCTTGAACTCACATATAGATATCCACCTACCTCTGCTCCCCAGTGGGATTAAAAATGTGCAATACCACTCACTACCCCACTCAGATTTATCTGAATGTACATTTACTTGCCACGTATGGGTATTTTGCCTGCATGTGTGTCTTTGTACCATGTGCCTGCCCGAGTAGCCAGAAGAGGACGACATAGTAGTTACCTTGTAGGTGCTGGAAGCAAACCTGGAAGAGCAACCAGAGCTCTTAAACACTAAACCATCACTCCAGTGAATTTGTCTGTTTGCTTGCTTCTTTATTCATTTAGGGTTTTTAGGACAGAGTTTCACTTTGTAGCCCTGGCTGTTCTGTAGACTAGGCTGGCCTTGAACTCAGAGATCTTCCTGCCTCTGCCACCGCCTCAATCTTTGTTTTTACTTATACGGTTTGTGTGGGCGTATGTGTACATGAAAGCAGGAAACCAACCTCAGATCTTCTGCAAGCTCTTAACTGCAGAGTATCGCTGGCTCCAAATCTTTTTTGAGACACAGTCTCCATCTTGTTTCAACTTCCCCAATGCTGGGCTTGGTTACAGGCCTAACAGCACCACACCCAGCTACCCAATATTAAATTTTAACTCCAAGATCAACTACTAAATTTTGAGTCTTCATTCTGGCTACACAACTGAAATGCCCTGGACCTTTGAAAAACTACTTATGTCTGAACTCTGCTCCTGGATTCATTTACTTTTCAAAAGACTTATTTATGTGTATCTGTCTGTATTGGAGAATGTGCATGATAGCCCAGGCATCCTCAAAAGTCAAAGAACGTATCAGATCTCTTGAAGACGGAATTACAGATGATTGTGAGCTAACCAATGTAAGTAATAGTTCTGGGAACACAATTCCAGTCCTCTGCTAGAGAAGTAAGTTCCCTTAACTGCTGTGTGCAATCTGTCTAACTCATGGATGCTGTGGAATGATGTTCTTGGACACTGTAAGGTTTTATCACTTGTATTAATTTAATAATACTGATTGGTCAGTAGTCAGGCAGTGACCAGACAAAGAGAATTCTGGGAAGAGGAAAGGCAGAGAGATGCAGTCATCAGATGCAGAGGAAGCAAGATGAGACTGCCTCACCGAGAAGAGGTACCAAGCCACATGGCTAAACATAGACAAGAATTATGGGTTAATTTAAGTTCTAAGAGCTAGTTAGTAATAAGCATGAGCTAATAGAACAAATAGTTTATAATTACTATAAGCCTCTGTGTATTTCTTTGGGACTGAATGGCTTTGGGACAGAAAATTCCATCTACACATGAATTCAGTATTTCTTTAAATCTTAGCCAGACAGGGTAACTTAAATTACATCAGAGCATTTGGAAGGCTAAGGCAACAGGATTGCTCTAAGTTCAAGGCCAACCTTGGTGACATAGAAAGCTCTAGGGCTGTTTAAAAAACAAAACAAAACCAAATGACAGTAAACCAGGTTGATCATATCTGTAGCCAGAGCTAGTTATAATATGGGGTTAAAAATCTATTATAGGCTTGGCCCAAGGGCACGCAGTGGATCCCAGTTATTCATGTGGCTAAGGGAAGAGATTCAAGGCCTAGAATCTATCAGAGTGAGATAAAGGTGAATCTGGCCCATGCAGCAAGGGCCTATCTAAAAAATAACAAGGAACACTCAAGGGCAGAGGCAGATAGATGGACCTCTTTGAGTTCCAAGGCCAACCTGGTCTCCATTGCAAGTTCCAGTACAGTCAGGGAGACAGTGAAAGACCCTACCCTTCAATAGATGGATGGATGGACAGACGGACAGACAGAAAGGTAAGTAAATACACCAAAAATAGCTAAGTAAGTAATTTTTTTAGGTTTATTTATTTAATATCTATACAGTGTTCTTCCTGCATGTATGCCTGCAGGCCAGAAGAGATATTACAGATGGTTCTGAGCCACCATGTGGTTGCTGCGAATTCAACTCAGAGCCTTTGGAAGAGCAGTAACCACTGAGCCATCTCTCCAGCCCAATAAGTGAGATTTTTAAAAAGAGGCTATTGCCACATCAGTAGGTTTAGGGCAATTCAAGCTCTAGCCAGAATGATTTAGGTCACTGCCAATAACCATCTGGGGGAAAACAGTCCATGTGAATGCAAAACCAATGACACCATCAGGGACCTAAGCAAATGGATTACAACAACAGGACCCTTTTGCAATACTGTTTTTTTTTTTTTTTTTTCCCCTTAAAGAAATGGGACATGGGGGCTGGAGAGATGGCTCAGTGGTTAAGAGCATTGCCTGCTCTTCCAAAGGTCCTGAGTTCAATTCCCAGCAACCACATGGTGGCTCACAACCATCTGTAATGAGGTCTGGCGCCCTCTTCTGGCCTGCAGACATACACACAGACAGAATATTGTATACATAACAAATAAATAAATAAATAAATATTTAAAAAAAAAAAAAAGAAATGGGACATATTTTTTTATCTAATACATGTCTCTGGGAAATCACAAAATCTAGGACAGGATGAACCTGGAGCATCCAGCTCTGCCATGCCCTGCCATCCTTTCCTACCCTCACCTGTCACATTCATGAGGATGCTTATTTTTAACAATCCCTATGAACAGAAACAGATGCTAAAAGAACATGAGCAAATAAAGAACAAAGTACAAAGAGGGCTTCAGATAACTGGGTGGAATGACACTTTACAAGTAGGCTCTGGAGGTTCCATTCTAGAACCACCTACAATCCCAGCACTAGGATGGCTAAGGCAAAAGCACTGCCATGAGTCTAGTAGGGTCAATCTAGGCTAGAGTGTGACTGTGTCAAGCACAAAATTACAGAACTGGTTCAATAATTCAACTGTGCTTTGCCATTCAAGCCTGAATGTAAAAAAATACCAGATGAGTGGTTATCTGTAAGTCAAGCAGTTCTACAGTGGACAGGAAGACACATAACACCCGGAAACTTATGGGTCAGCTGGCTTAAAGTAGCCAGGACAGAATCAGAAAGGACTCTGTCCCAAAAGCAAGGTGCAACAAGGAACAAGAGAACCAGACTTCTCCAATGTCATCTCTCTGGGGCATGTGAGCACGTATGCACACACACAAACACACACACGCACACACGAATTGAGGCTTTAGTGCACAACAGCCTCAAGAAGGCTCTATTAATACAAGTTACATGTACACATAGTGACATTACCTTTATCAAGAGTAAGAATTCCTGACCGATCTTCAACATTAATCAGGCCCACTCCTATCAGTCCTTGCCGAACATCTATAAGAAAAAAAATTATGAAAAATCTTCACAGTTCAAATGATCCAATGAGCTGTTAATCAAACAAGATTAGGTTCTAGCATTAAGATTTAGCCCATGTACTGTGCTTTATTTTAACAACCAGAATTAAATTGATAAACAAAGTACCCAATAAGCTCAAAACCGAAAATCACCAAATCTCACATTGTGTGTATGGTTTCTTTGGAGTCTAGTGGTTTTGGTAGTGCTAGAGATTGACTACTTACCACTAAAATTTTCCCTAGACCCTCATTAAAACACTTTAACACCAGATGGGCAGTGCTGGCGCACACCTTTAATCCCAGCATTGGGGAGGCAGAGGTAGGCCCATCTCTTTACTGAGTTTAAAGTCAGCCTGGTCTACAGAGCTAGTTCCAGGACAGACAGAGCTAATTAGAGAAACCTTGTCTTGGTAGATTAATGAATGAATAAACAAAAATTTAGCCAGGTGGTGATACACACTTAAAATCCCAGCACTAAGGAGGCAGAAGCAGGTTGATCCCTGTGAATTCAAGGTCAGCCTGGTCTACAGATCAAGCTCCAGGATAGGACAGCCAGGGCTACAAAGTGAAGCCCTGCCTAGAAAAACAAACAACAAATACGCCTTATATTTGGTGCCTTCACACAGAACTCAAGAGGTTGGAGCAGGAGAAAAATTTCAAGGTAAAAGTCCAGCACACGTGAGTTCCAGGACAACTTGGGTTACAGTGTGTCTCCAAAACAAAAACCGAAACAAAACAAAAAAACAAAAAAACCAAACTGAGAGCTGTCAAGATGGCACAGTAGGTAAGGATGTTTGCTGCTGCCAAGTCTGATAACCAAAGTTCAATTCCTGGGACCCACAACGATGACAGAGAATAAACTCCCATAAACTGTCCTCTGACCTCCACACACGCTATGAATATTCACTTCACTACCCCCTCAAAATAGTCAACACATACATACACAGGACAAATCTTATCTTTTTACAAGAACACCCTGTATATTACAGAGATTCTTTATCTAAGTACCCACAAAATCGCTACAATTTTGTGTTAATGATTATATAAGGACATAGTGTTTTCATTCAGGTCTTATCCAGAAGCACTAGTGAAGTGCTGCAAACGGTAAATGCTGAATAAGTGGTCAACATGCCCTTAAGAGACCTCACTGAACCCCCTTCCCACTTCCTGAATTGGGTTCTTCTGTGTAATCCTGGCTGTCCTGAACTCAAAGATCTACCTGCCTCTAACTCCTGAAATTAAAGGCATGTATGCTACATCAGGCTTACAAGACTTATGTGTAGGATTGTTTTGCCCATATTTAGGTCTGGGCACCACATGTGTATAGTGCCCACAAAGGCCAAGGTAGGGTTTTTAGGTACCCTGGAGTTACAGATGATTGTGAGTTATCAACTAGATGCTGAGATGAAAACCCAGGTGCTAATGTTCTTAACTGGGTCTCACTATATAGACTGGACTAAACTCAAGATTTTCCTGCCTCATCATGCTGAGTGCAGAGATTCCTGGAATACACTACGATGTGTCTAGTTTGATACTGCAGATGGAACCAAGGCGTTCAAACATGCAAGGGAAGCACTGTAGCAATAGAATATCAACTTTATTCCCAGTCATGATCACTTTTAAGTTACCTTTAAAGAATTCTCCAGGGTAGTCTGGAGGTGGTGATACCATAGGAGAATCCAAGTTTACAATGGATTTCATAACAATTTCCAAAGCATTTCTTCCATACTGCAATAAAGGGGGAAATGTTTTAACCAACTTCAACATTTAGGTATTTTTTTTTAAACCCACATAAATGCCATGAAAACTGTAACTGTAACCAAAATGCTAAAACACACATACTTTTAGGATTGTCTATTCTGTGCCTTTAAAGACAGCAGGCATTCAATACATTAATGACTTATCTGATTTCTAATAACTCATTCTTGATGCCTTCACAAACACTCTAGTAGTGTTTTCCAACAGGAATAAAAAAGAAGTGTGCAAAGATCTGATGATGTGTAAAATCCTATCTCACATTAAGCTATACAAGGCAATGCTAGCAGCAAGCAGAGTTTTTATTTTAACAGTAATCAATTTCTGTCACTGAATAAACTACAAACATCCACAATGGTAAAGATGCCGAAATGTACCTTATTGTCAAAGTTGAACCTGCTCAGATCTCTAGATTCTGTTGCTCTTCTGTCACCATGGGTAAGTGCCCCCTGGGAAACACAGAATTCCCGGTCAAGATATCATCAACTCCTCCCGGAAGTCAGCTAACACAGATCATCTGTGAGATACATCTAACAACTCAAAAACTTACCAAACTCTCGAGTCTCTTAGCAACAATAGATGCAAATCTCTGCTCTCCAGCCAGTTCCGAAATCAAAAAGACATACTCTGGAGCAGTTACTTGGTTTGACCTGTGTGTTCTTCCTGTAGTGACATGTACAGCTCATTAGGTAGAACGGGATACTCTAAGATCTAATTCCTAGCACTTACCACTGAACAGGTATAGAGACAAGGTCTCACACATAATCCAAAGTGACATCAAACTCACTGTGCAGCTAGTCAGGCCTAAAACACTTACTACTTCTGGATCTACTAATCACGTGCTGAAATTGTAAGCCTGCACATCCCCCTTGGCTAAGCTGGCACTGATCTAACTAAAATACCTTTGAAAAGAACAATTAAAGATAATGTATCCCTTTTTGTAGCTCCCCAGAAGAGCAATTTTAACTCTAATATCACAGTCCTTACTAGTCAAGGACTAGAACCTGCTTTAAATGGAAAAGTGCTGCCACCATTTGGTTAAACACTATTACTACATAGCCATTCTGAATGTTTTGAGTGTATCATCAGATCACAAGAAGAAGCAAGAGAACAGGAACAGGAATGTGTACCTGCTAAGGGATGAAATGAACATGTAAGTAGCTAGCTTCTCTGGAAGACCTCAAGAAACCCTGTTCTTGGAGGTCACGGATGCCGTGCTATCCTACCACAGATCTCAATATCGTGGGAAACCAGGCAAAAAGGAATTCATAATCTACTATACATCATGGTATGAAGAGAACACACTTTCAACGTAGGATCTGAGAGTTCCACAGGCTTATGATGTCTCATACAGACATTTAAGCATGCCTCCAGAAACACCTTTCCTCTCAGAGACATCCAGTAGAGACACTTACCAAATTGCTGAATCGCCCTATCAGCACTCCAGGGTAACTCCAAAGTCATGTGAACTCTTCGCCTTTGATTTTCAGCTCTCCGATCTGCTTGTAATGAAATACCTGAGCTGGCAGCTTCTGAGATAATAGCAATATTCTATATCAAATTGAAAAGGTAAAAAAATATATATATAATCACCTCTGAGCAAAGATAGGAAGGGTCAGTGCTTAGAAAACTTCCTTTGGTGGATAGTAATGGCCACCAGTATGTACTTTACTCTCTTTTCAAAGTAGCAAGATGCCCTGGTGTCGGTGTGGCACGTGGTTGCCCAGAGTCAAGATTAGCTGCCCTAGTCTCCCTTAATACTAAATAGGTACACACAGGCAAGCTGTGGTCAGTAAGGCATAGGTGGTAGATACAACGTTCAAGAAATGTTATTTGAAGTACAAGACAGGGCAGTGTGTCCCAAAGATTTTCCAGTGTCTGATGCATAAAGGAAGGTCTTATTGTCACTAGCATTGTAACCTAAGGGGAAAATGCTCCGGATGAAGCTCAGAGGTGGAGCGCTTCCCCAACAAGCCTGAGGGCCTTAGTTTAAAATCCCAGGACTGAAGGGTGTAGGTAGAATGGTACACACCTGTAATCCTAGTATGCAGAAGCCTGAGGCAGGGCAAAAATGAGTCCAAAGCCATCCTGGGCTACACAGCAGGACCCAGACTCAAAATAATCAAGGATAGTAGAAGTCTGATCTACTCCAGAGGCCGAGGCAGGAGGATCACTTGAAACTAGAAAAAAAAAAAATTTTTTTTTTGAGACCAAGTCTCCTATTGTAAACAAAGCTAGCTCAGGATCCACCTGCCTCAGTCTCAAAAGTTCTCAAATTACAGGCATATGCTTCAACACCCTTAAGACAACACATAAATAAATGTACATTGTCTTTAGGTTTCTACTGTTGTGAGGAGACACCATGACCACAGCAACTCCTATAAGGAAGACTTTAACTGGGGAGGCTCACAAATTTCAGAGGTTCAGCCCATTATCATCATGGTAAAGAGCATGGTGGTGTGCAGGGAGACATGGTGCTGGAGAAGTAGCTGAGAGTCCTATATCTTACAGGTAACAGGAAGTCAAATGAGACGCTGGCCAGTTTCCTGAGCATAGGAGAACACAAAGCCCACCCCCACAGTGATACACTTCCTCTAGCAAGGCCATACCTACTCCAACAAAGTCACACCCGCTAATAGTGCCATTCTCTATAAGTTTATGGGGGCCAATTACATTCAAACTACCACAATCCACTCCTAGCCCCCCACAAGCTTTTAACAGTATCATAATGTATGTAAAACAGATACATCTAATTCAACTTCACAAGTCCCCATAGTCTATCATAGTCTGTACAATGTTTAAAAGTCAAAAGTTCAACGTCTCTGAAATTCACATAATCTCTTAACTGCAACCCCCCCCACCAAAAAACCAAACCAGATCACATACTTCCAACATAAAAGGACACAGGATATACACTCCCGTTCCAAAATGTAAGGAAGGGAGCACAGTGAAGAAAAATTGGGCCATTACGGTTATTATTACTGGCTTATGAGGGCCCGGGAGTGGAATGAGGTAGTTTGATAAAACTGACCCCTATAAGCTCACAGGACATAGCACTATTAGGAGGTGTGGCCTTGTTGTCAAAAGAAGTGTGTCATTGTGGAGGTGGGCTTTGAGGCCTCTTTTCTTAACCTTTGCTCAGTGTCACAACCATTTCCTGCTGCCTGCAAGATATAGTAATCTCAGCTACCTTGCTGTGGAATAGTTCCTTTGTATATTGTGAAGATTTGTCGCCAGAAGATGTGCTGTGTTGGGGAGCCCCTGGATGTCTGAATACTGACAGATGGAAAAATAACTACCCAATAAGGATCAAGAAAAGCAAATATGGGGCTGGAGAGATGGCTCAGCGGTTAAGAGCATTGCCTGCTCTTCCAAAGGTCCTGAGTTCAATTCCTGGCAACCACATAGTGGCTCACAACCATCTATAATGAGGTCTGGTGCTCTCTTCTGGCCTGCAGGCATAAACACTGACAGAATAGTGTATACATAATAAATAAGTATTAAAAAAAAGAAAAGCAAATATGATCTGTAAGAACAAGCATTTAAAAATATACTTTTTTTTTGGCTGGGCAGTGGTGGCCTCCCAGCACTCGGGAGGCAGAGGCAGGCGGATATCTGTGAGTTCGAGGCCAGCCTGGTCTACAAGAGCTAGTTCCAGGAAGGAACCAAATAGGTATGGAGAAACCCTGCCTTGAAAAATAAATAAATAAATAAATAAATAAATAAATAAATAAATAAATAAATAAATTTATGAATGTATATATGTGTATGTATTTCTATTTATGAACATATAGAGCTGGTTATGAAGTTGGACAACAGCTCTGTCCTTCTTTAAATCCAAGCATGTTGTTAAAAGAAAGATCCGGAGTTTCTGTCTCATGTCAAGAGCTGTCTGGCATGGGACAGAAAGAAAAAAGAAATTTAGAAAAAAATTTTGCTTTTCTTCATATCTATTTTTGTCTTTATCGTACCTTTCATTGACTATGTATGTCTATGTAAATAATGCTTAAGTTTTCCACAATGAACAATGAATTTTCCTGCAGTAATCTTTGAAGTTTCCAAGCGTACATTTTTTACAACATTCTGGCCAGACCTCCACAAAATACTCAGACTATTTTCAATCATACCAGATATTAATCTTGAAACCTAACCATCCTTTTACTTTCATAGGATCCCATAAAATGAATGTCGCCCCCAAGACAGCTGGAAGTAATTCTAGAAGACGACGTCCTCCCTCCCAACAAAGTTTGTCCTCAGGGTCAGAGACATCATTTAGGGTTTGATTATGATTGGTATAGGTTGGGGACGTGGGGAGGAAAGTTTTATAAGCTCAGGGGGGAAATTGGATGGGATAATAGATTGGTATGAGGTTAATCACACTGATAATAATAGTGAGTAATAGAGTGAATACTTGTGAGTTATTACTTATAGACAATTACATTGGTGTAGGTTCTTGTATACAGACACAAAGTTAAATTATATTGAAAATTGTGCGCATGCATGCTTCTACCTGTTTAAAACATTTTTTATATATTAATATATATTTACCATATTGCAGTGTACATTTCTACCTCTGATCTAGATACTTATACATTGTTTACATCTGGAGGTCATTGTCCTCATTTATTGCGCAGCTGTTTATTGTCTTAGTCTTTAAGTTATATGGGTATTAAGAATTATAGATCAATAATCAGTTATGTTTGTCATACTTAGACTAATCAGGTTCTTTAGATACATGGAGATTATATTCTGCATAGATAATCTTCAACCACTTCAAAGAGCTGTAGAAAATGACATTTAAATAACTTTTAGAGTTCTGTTGAAGTGAGACACAATTACTCCTGACAGCACAGATTTATTCCGAGAGAATGTTTACTTAGAGCTTGTTTTCTTCTTGGCAAAAACTGGTCTTTGGGCAAAAAAAGTGTCCATGCCTCAACCATTGATAAGATATATAGTATCAGAAATGGATAAACAAGACTGTCAAATCTTGCCAAGACAGGGTAATACAGTTTTGAAATTTTTTCTTGCCTTTGAAAATGGTCTATTAGAGCTGGGCGGTGGTGGCGCACACCTTTAATCCCAGCACTCGGGAGGACTGGCGGATCTTTGTGAGTTCAAGGCCAGCCTGGTCTACAGAGCTAGTTCCAGGACAGGCTCCGAAGCTACAGAGGAACCCTGTCTCCAAAAACCAAAAACCAAAAAAAGAAAATGGTCTATTAGTTCTTGTAGGCCTTAGCCAAAGTTGGTTGCTAAACATTGCAAATGAGACTTTGGGTGATTGCCCAGATAGCCAGTTGTCCCTGTCATTTGTTGAACGTGCTTGACTGCACTTCCTACTTACTCAAGTAATATTATTTTCCTCCTCGGATCTTCGATGGGGTTGAAGACTAGATAATTGTAGTTATTTTCCTCTCATGACTTGGCCAAGTTATTTATTATACAAAACTTAAGCTAGTTAGAATATTTGTTTTTATTGTATATAATTTTGTATTAGGCTTAGAACTCTCTTATTTAAACCAAAGGGGGAGGTGCTGTATGTAGGAACACTAGCCACTTGTGATTACCCACCTACTGGGGCGTGGCCTCATACTATATAGAACCTGTATTCGACCCCTTTTTCTCCTTCCCCTTGCTCCTTTTCACCAATTGCTCATTCAGGCAGAGAATCCTGATTTGCAAGTTTACCCCTAAATAAATAACTATCTCTGTTCTGAGCTAGTGTGGGATTTCTTTTAAGCATCCATTCACCACTTCATCTGGCAGGATCACTGCAACATAATTGAAACAAGAAGTTACTGGGAACAAATCCTTTGGGCCCTGTCTTGAACCCTGTGTTTCTTTCTGCTTCCATTCACTGCCATAACATGAGCTGAGTAGTCCCTTGTATCCTTCCTTTCACAATAGATTAAAAGAATAAAATCATGAGCTAAGATTAACTTTCAGTCCTAAGGGACTCTTAGATGGCAGTTATGCAAAAGTAACTACTATAAGAAGGAAGAAAGGCAAGGAGGGAAGAAAAAGAGAGATCAAAGAAATCACTACAATGATTTACTACTTTTATATTCAGATTAAGGTAGCCACATATCTCTCAAATCTCTCTAAATTTTCAGACAAGACCTTATGTAGGCCAGGCTAGTTTAAAACCCCTGCTCTACTGTAGCCAAGAAGACTGATCCTACTTCCTCTAACTCCAAGGTGCACCATCTCACCTGGTTTGTGTGTTCCAGAGTTCTCCTAAATACCAAGATGCGCATCATACAGAACCACTAAAGCATGTAAAATAATCAGTTCAATTACTAACAAAAAACAGACCGTTCCACAACCTTATAACAGAATCTATGGATGTGGATGGATAGAGGGGAAACCTTTCTAAAGCTGAACATATGGGCAGGTGCCTCCTATTGAAAAGCACCACAGGAAAATATACCTTTTTTCCATCCATAAACCTCTGCTTCTCCGTGATGTTTAGAATTTCCACGGGCACATCAACTTCAGACCTTGACTCATAAGATATGCTTCCATCGTCATTGCTCACCACCCGCCCCTTGCGGCCAGTCATCTGAAAAGCAAGCATTAACACAGAGCTTTAAGAGCACGAAACATGGATGACACAAGTTGGGACAAAAGAACATTACAACATAAAAAAATGATCCCTGGCAACATTACAAAAGTTGTACAATAGTAAAGGAACCAGGTTCAAGCCAAACTTCAGGCACTGAGGACAGGCCTTCTGTAGTCATACCCTGAGAACCAAAACAGAACAAGGTTCTAAGTTGTATCCAGAGAACAGGACATCCATGTCACAGGATTTAAAAAGAGAAGAAAATACTAACAGGAAAGAGCATGGCACTAACCACATCTATTTACCTCAGCCACATTTTCAGGACCACCAAGTTCATCAATAAGTTCATCCAAGGTGTTAGGAGGGAGGTCTTCAGCTAATTTTTCTAGTTTATCAAGCAGGTCTTTCTTCATCTGCTGTGCCCTTTCCACAGCATCCTGACTCGTTATAAGGCTATTGTTACTGTTGGTGTTACTGTTAGCTGATAAAGAACATTTGTTGGTCAGTCAAACTGTTACACCTGATTTCCGTAACAGCACATCTCTAAAGTAAGACATTCTGCACAGTACCTGGTGCGCTGTTGGGAGCAGGTGAGATAACTGGTGCAGAGGAGAAACTGGGCCGCTTTGAACCAAGACCTGATGCTAACAAGGCACTTTGAATGGAATCTGGATCTATACTTTTCTTCTTTTTCTTATCTTTGTTCTTCTTGTGGTCTTTTCTAATTAACCAAGGATCTGAAATGTAAGAGAAATATGTATCAATTTGATAGAACAGTACAGTCCTTTTGTTTTTTGAGACAGGGTTTCTTTGTAGCCCTGGCTGTCCTGGCACTTGCTCTGTAGACCAGGTTGGCCTAGAACTCAAGAGATCTGACTACTACCTCTGTCTCCAGAGAGCTGGAATTAAAGTTGTGCACCACCACCTCTCAGTACAATATGGACTCCTGATAGGAGGAACTTTTTTTTTTAATTAGGTATACAGTGTTCTGTCTGCATGTATGCCTCCAGGCCAGAAGAGGGCACCAGAGCTCATTACAGACGGTTGTGAGCCACCATGCGGTTGGTAGGAATTAAATTCAAGACCTGTGGAGGAGCAGCTAGTGCTCCAAATGCTGATCCACCTTTCTTTTTCTTTCTTTTTTCTTCTTTTTTTGTCTTTTTCTTTCTTTCTTTTTTTTTTTTTTTTTTTTTTGGTTTTTCGAGACAGGGTTTTCTCGGTGGTTTTGGAGCTTGTCCTGGAACTAGCTCTTGTAGACCAGGCTGGTCTTGAACTCACAGAGATCACCCTGCCTCTGCCTCCGGAGTGCTGGGATTAAAGGCGTGCACCACCACGGCCCGACTTGATCCATCTTTCTAAGCCCCAAATTTCCTTCTGTTAACTGACACAAAGTATTGTCAGCTAGCAGTGCCCAATCCATTTACTCAACACACAGAGAGCTACCTCTCTACATTTTGAAGTTAAAAAAATAAGCAAATATTGGGCCGTGGTGGTGCACACCTTTAATCCTAGGACTCTGGGAGGCAGAAGCAGGTGGATTTCTGAGTATGATTGAGGCCAGCCTGATCTACAGAATTCCAGGACAGCCAGGGCTACACAGAGAAACCATGTGTGCTCACACGCACAAAATAAACCCACATAAACTCAATATATTCCACTAGGCTTGCAATTCCACTATCCCAAAACTCAGGAATACTGAGGCAGAAAAATGGGAACCCTAGAAAAATTCAACCCCAAAACTTAACTTGAAGGAATGAATGCAGTTCTAGATCATCTAGGGTTACACAGTGAGAACTTCTACTTCCCACCGAAAATGTAAAAAAAAGGCACAAAGTCGTCTTATCTCACATTCAAACCTCATTGAACTCCGATTCTCTTAACCACTGAGCCACCTCTCCAGCATGGAGAAAATATTTTATCTTTTGTTTGTTTTTGAGACAAGGTCTCACTATGTAACTCTGGCTAGCCTGGAGCTCACTTCACTATGTAGATCAGGCTGGCCTAAAACTCATAGAGATAGATAATCCTGCCTGCACCCCTAATGCTGGGATTAAGGCCCAGCAGCTAAGTCCCCTTCTGCTGTCGCAACAGTTGAGTGAACTCACCGTCCTCGTTGTCCTCACTGGACTCATCTCTGAAGGGGTTGAAATCATCATCATCACCAGAGCTCATGTTCTTAGAGCTCTCGTAGTCACTTTCTTCATTGTCAGAGACATCAGACTCACTTTCGCTGTCATCAGAGGTGCTACCAGTAAGGCCACCAACTTTTCGTGCTTTTTTGGCTTCTCGAGTTATTTCTTCACCTACCCTCAAGCCCCAAATAAAAGTCAGTTGGAAATGCAATGTTTCTAAAGACCTATGGTGTCAGACTTTAGATTATGAGTTGAGTCTAAGAGAACTGCAGACAGCAAGAATATACATTTGATAAGCAAAGCATGCTCATAAGAACCAAGAACTCCAGTTATGGTCAGCTACTCAACAAGAAGCTAAATATATAAATACAAACTCAAAACTGATGGAAAGAAAATGAGGGGCTGAACCAAACCACATTACATACATGCATGAAATTCTCAAACATACAAAATAAATAAAAACTCAAGACAGAGTGCAACAGTCCTAACTGTTAAGTAGTTGTGAGAAGGGCATTAGTAACTAGTCATGAAATACCTAGAAATTTTTAATGTATAAGCTAGGTATAGTAGTCTCTAATCCCAGCATTTGGGAGGCAGACACAGAGAAGTCTCTGTTGAGTTCAGAGCCTGCCTAGTCTACAGCGTGAGTTCCAGGTGCATTAGGACTGCATAATGAGACCCTGTCTTGAATGAAATGAAGAGGGGAGGACAACTCACTTCTGAAAGTCAAACAGCAAAGAAAGCATCCAAACAAAAATTCTAGTTTACATCATAAGCTAGTTAACAAACACGGGTGAATACATCCCTAAAACTTAAAAACTATACTAATCAAAGCCTCTTTAGCCTTAACCATCAAGGAGAACATAATGCTTGTAACCCAGCTGCTCCAGAAACTGAAGCAGGAGGAAGGTATTACCCAGTAACTGCCAAGAAAAAAAAAAGGGGGGGGGGGGTTTGAGATGATGCACTGACTAGCAAACTCCATGTTTGTTAAATAGCAGCTCTAATAACACAAAGACTAAGTGAACTTAGAAAAATCCTAACCTTCCCACAAAGCTAAAAAGGTTCTAATTTCCTAACTACTGCAGAGTGTCCAGCTAATTAAATTAAGTGGGACCACCTGTATATTCACCCAGGACTCTGAGCAACAGAGAAAGCACCAGTCCCTTTCCACTCAAGGAAGGAAGGAGCTCAATCACAAACAACTACTTCCAAACTCAGATCATCAGCACTGCCATCAACTATTTTTTTTAATTTATTTATTTTATTAGGTATACAGTGCTCTGTCTGCATGTATGTGTGCATGACAGAATAGGGCACTACATCTCATTACAGATGGTTGTGAGCCACCATGTCATTGCTAGGAGTTGAACTCAGGACCTCTGGAAGAACAGCCAGTGCCCTTAAACTCTGAGCCATCTCTCCAGCCCTGCCATCAACTATTTAAAGAAAAGTACTCACCTTTCCGCTTCTTTATTTTGTTTTCTTTACAAGGGCTATCTCTTGGTGAACTGTTGTTACTTGGAGCTGTCAAATCGATTCCTAGCAAACTATAAAGTTTCTTCCTATCTGGAGCAGGAAAGTGTTTTTCAATGAGTGACTGCAATACCCCTCTGTAGGAAAAAAGCAGTGAATCTTACCCTTCATGTGGCAACTGTAAACATCTTACTAGATTTAGCTAAAGAGAAATATACATTTTCTTCAATCTTAAGAAATTGCAAGAAGAAATTAAAAAACATTACTTGGCAGTTGAAACAAAATCATTTAGTTCTCCTCCACCCTCTTCCAAGGCTTCCAGAGTTCTAGCTTCTCCTGTAGACTGCAGACCAATTACCACACACTGGAAAACACAAAATACACAATAATAAACAACATGCTGTAGCCTCTCACAGCATATGCCTTCTTACAGCATATGTCAAATGTCCAGTGAAAGATTTCAAAAAATGACCCATTACATTAAAGCCATTTAGGCGTCATTTATTCTGAGGTATGCTATGTCAAAAAGTGAGAGAAATCCAGGTTTGATGTTGCTCGCTTTTAATCCCAGCACTCAAAATGCAGAGTCAGGAGGATCTCTGTACATTGAGGCCAGTCTGTTCTACAGAGTTTCAAGGCTGCATAGAGGGGTTCTGTCTCCCTGCCAGCCAGAAAAAAAAAAAAAGGAAACACATTTTACAGAACATGACAAATGTTCCTGACCTTAAGGAATTTATAATTTTTGTTGTTGTTCTCTCTCTTTCTATAGCACTGGCTATCCTTGAACTCACAGAGATTTCCTCTCTCTGCCTCCCAAATGCTAGAATTGTGCTATAATGCACCAGAAACTCTAAGTTTTGAGCAGATCAACCAAAAGCAAGCAAGCTTAGGGCAATATTTATAGTCATTAATGGAAAGAGCACAGCTAAATAAATTACATAATGTATTTGTTATACTCTGCTGAAATTTCTGAACAGGCATTTTTATATACACTGACAAATACAAATATGCATGTGTCTGTGTGTGCAAATGTAGTCTGTCTTGATACAAAGTCTTATGTAGCCCAATTCAAACTATGATCTAACCACAGCTGGCCTTGCTCTTCAGAGCCTCTAGTTTCTATCTCTCCTGTGATAGGACCACACACACAGACACACACACTCGCATTTTTAGAACTTTTTGTTGATTTCTTGAGACAGGGCTTATTTGTGTAGTCCTGGATGTCCTAGAACTCAGTCTATAGAACAGGTTGGCCTCAGGCTTACAGAGATCCACCAGCTCTTCCTCCCAAGTGATGGAATCAAAGGTATGTACCACCACTGCCTGGCTTAGAATTTATTTTGAAGGATCTATTTATAGTGGCACATACTTAGACAATTCTAGGACTTGGGATGCTGATGCAGGAAGATTGCTGTGAGTTTTTTAGGACAGCCTAGAAGACCTATCAAATACCAGACATCTCTGAGCTACAGTGCAAACATCCTGTCTCAAACCAAAACCAAAAACATAAAATTATCAAAATAAAATCTTACTGCAATAGTATTTTTAATAACATCCACTTAAGACTATTCCAGAGCTGAGGACAATGACAAGCGTCTTTAATCCCAGCAACCGGGAGGCAGAGACAGACAGATCTCTGTGAGTTCGAAGCCAGTTTGGTCTATAGAGGAAGTTCCAGGATAACCAGAGCTACATAGTGAGACCCTGTCTAGAAAATACAAAAACAAAACAAAGAAACAAACAAAAAGACTATTCCCAGTAGAAGGCCTCATTAGATAAAGACTAGCTAGTCAAGCTCAGACCACACTAGATTTTTTTTCTCCAACTTACCTTCCCATTCTTGATTTCCTCCCGAGCCAGTTGAACTACCCTTTTCACTTTAGATGCTATGCACAGGTACTTAAAAAACCTCTGGTGAGCAGACCAGAATTGACCCCACATAGATTTCTTCATTCTCTGTTCAGCATCAATCAAATCGGCAGCTTGCTGAAATCTCTCTCTAGCAATGACCCACTGGAAATACATAGGCAACATGTTACATATACATCTGAATACATTACTTAAAAGTAGCCCCTTTAGCCAGGCATGCCTTTAGTCCCATCACTCAGTAGGCTGGAGAATCACTGTGAGTTCAAGGACAGCCTGGTCTAGACATAGAAGTTCCACGCCAGCCACAATGACACAGTGAGACCCCCGTCTCCACAAAACTAAAACTGACTCCTTCAACTAAAACAATCTGCAATCACTTGGGAAACTTTCAGGATGTTTATACATAAATGTCTCAAAATGTATACTATCTAAACCTGTCATTTTAGAACATAGCTTTATTGCAACTGTGAATTTGATTTAACTGAATCAAATGTGTTTTATGAATTATCATAAAAATTAAAGCATGGAAAATAAGGATATTGATCAAATAAACAACTGTGATCATTATCTGCTGTTTCACAGCATAAACACATTCTTCTATGTTGAAAAAGTTTCAATAGATAAATCTCATTAAAAAATTATCAGGCACATTAAAAATATTGACAAAAGACTTCTCACCAGCTTGACTGCTTTGTTATACATTTTAACATAACTCTGTGAAAGAAGAACTTCCTCTATTTTGAAGGTCACTCCAGTAAAGCTCAGCTGTCGTGCAATGTACATTCCTCTAAGCTTCATATCCATAGCAACTATTTCCATGGCACCAACACCTCTGAACAAAATTAAAACACACAGTAACTATCAATAAACAAAACAGCACTTTCCACACAGCAACGGTTCTGGCAGCACTGTGCCACCAGCTTTATTACCTGCGTTCCACTGCTTGGATAAAATCACTGAATTCTCTGAATGGAGTTCCCTCACCCCAAATTCCAAGACGGTTCATATAGGCCATGTTCCGTGGTTCCGAAGCACCTGGAAAAGCCCCAACATATTATAGCTGCAAAAGCGATTTGTTCATCTTTCTGATCAAGTAGGGTACTCACCAGTGGCACTGGCATAAACAACTCTGGCTTTTGGCAACTTGTTCTGAAGCTCTAAAACGGCCAACCCTGTCTTGGTTGGCTTTGAAGAACCAACAGGACAGAGGTTTTTTGCTTTGTGACATTCATCAAACACTATCTGTAAGGAGGAGCTAAGGAACTTTTCAAAAACAGAACTGTCCATTCAAGAGTGTGGTCTATGACCCTAGGGCCTACGGGTATTTTCTGTAAGATTCCACACATAACCCAAGATCCCTCTGGGCCTCATCTCTATTCTTTCCCCTTATCCTGCAGCTTCTGAGTTAAGTGCTCAATAAGTTATTCACTCAGGTGAAAATTTTTCTTATAAGAATACAGGAATGGGGCTGAAGAGATGGCTCAGAGGTTAAGAGCATTGCCTGCTCTTCCAAAGGTCCTGAGTTCAATTCCCAGCAACCACATGGTGGCTCACAACCATCTGTAATGGGGTCTGGTGCCCTCTTCTGGCCTGCAGACATACACACAGACAGAATANATAATAAATATATTTTTTTAAAAAAAAAAAAGAATACAGGAATGACCGGGCAGTGGTGGCGCACGCCTTTAAATCCCAGCACTTGGGAGGCAGAGGCAGGCGGATCTCTGCAAGTTCGAGACCAGCACGGTCTACAAGAGGTAGTTCCAGGACAGGCTCCAAAGCCACAGAGAAACCCTGTCTCGAAAAAACAAAATTAAAAAAAATAATAATAAAAATAAAGAATACAGGAATGGCCAGGCAGTGATGGCACACGCCTTTAATCCCAGCATTCGGGAGGCAGAAGCAGGCAGACCTGTGTTTTTGAGGACAGCCTGATCTACAAGAGCTAGTTCCAGGATAGGCTCAAAAGCAACGCAGAGAAACCTGTCTCAAAAAAATAAAATGAAGGGGGCTGGAGAAATGGCTCAGTGGTTAAGAGCACTGACTGCTCTTCCAGAGGTCCTGAGTTCAATTCCCAGCAACCACATGGTGGCTCACATCCATCTATAATGAGACCCAGTGCCCTCTTCTGGCATTCAGGCACACATGGAAGGAATGCTGTACACATAATAAATAAATAAATCTTTAAAAAATAAAATGAAATGAATGAATGAGTGAGTAAAAATGCAGGAATGGAGCTGGGCAGAAGTGGTGTACACCTTTAATTTGGAGACAGAGACAGGTGGATCTCTGTGAGTACGAGGACAGCCTAGTCTAAAGCAAGTTTCAGAAGAGAGACAGAGAGACAGAGAGACAGAGAGACAGAGAGAGAGAGAGAGAGAGAGAGAGACAGAGAGAGACAGAGAATGAGAAAAGAAAAGAATGCAGGAATAGATTCACTGAGGCAGGAGTGAATCCACTACAACAAGAATTTCACTGAATTGTGAAACTGGCAACTAACTTGAAATAGTATTTCAGAACTTGGGGTTCTTCATCAGGACAGCAGAAGCTATGCACCGAACAAATGAGTGAGCTCTGCTTCCTTGGTCTCTCAAGCACTCTCCATGGGGAAGAGGATGCAAAGCTCCTGACATCTGACACATACAAAAGAACTGACTTTCCAGGCCCCGAGGACTCTTAACAATTACAGTGACCATCCCAAAATATTCACTTAGTCAAAAATTTTCCAAAGGTCTATTTACACATAATTTTTTAAAAATAATTTTGTGTAGCCTAGGCTATCCTGGAACTCATTCTGTAGATCAGGTTGTCCTTGAACTCAGAGATCCACCAGCTTCTGCCTCTCCACGGCTGGGACTAAAGGTGTGCACCAACACCATCCTACTGTTTATTTTTTGTTTGTTTGTTTGTTTGTTTTTGATTTTCGAGACAGGGTTTCTCTGTAGCTTTTGGTTCCAGTCCTGGAACTAGCTCTTGTAGACCAGGCTGGCCTGGAACTCACAGAGATCTGCCTGCCTCTGCTTCCCGAGTGCTGGGATTAAAGGCGTGCGCAACCACGCCTGGCTTGTTGTGTTGTTGTTTTTTTTTTAATTTTTTGACGCAGGGTTTGCTGTCCTTTAACACAGCCTCAGAGATTTGTCTGCCTTAGGCATGCCCTAACACCGCCCAGCCTAAACACAATTTTTATGCCATCAAAAATAAACACAATCTCTATTGAAGGATACCACTCCATCGAAGTCATCACCGCACCAATGCAGAAGCTGTTTTAACCTGGTCTTATATTTACCACCAGACTGGCTTTCACCAATAAGAGAAGAATAGGTAGCAAAAATAACACCCTTTTTCACACTCCCATTGTGCTTGGAAGAAATTTTTCCATATTTAAACTAAAAAGGAAAAAAAAGAATTTAATTAGTACATCTTCCTCTCAGAAAGACCTACCTCAAACTTATGAGTCAACTTAGGTTCATGACAGACTCCAAAAAAATATAGACACATAAAGCTTATAATACATAAATGTGAACATATCAAAAAAAAAAGCACGCCATAACCAAGTTTCAAATCCGCTTTCCTATGGAAATTCCAGCACTGCTCCACACATTCTTACTGTACATTCATCATACTATAGTATTCATCATACATAGTAAAGGACTATGACTGAGTTGAGGACTAGAAGATTATCAGCAGGAGAAGTGTTAGCAAGTAAGCTAGGGGTGTGATTCAGTGGTAGAGCACTTAACCTAGCATGCCTAACCCCCAAACACAGAATTTTCAGTAATGTGCTCCTTTGTTTGTTACATTACTCAGAAATAAATCTTACCTAGCTGTTTTAGTATTACAGTGCAATCATTCAAAACATAACTAAACACAACATAACCAAAAAAGTGAGAGTGAGTACCAGGACAGACTCCAAAGGTACAGAGAGAGGAAACCCTGTCTCGAAACTCCAAAACAAACAAATGAAAACAAAATAAAAAATTCTAATCACATTAAAATGTGTTTCAGATCTAGATACCCACTTTGTTTCTATACTAACACAAAGTCCTTAAACTCAGTCATACAAACCGAATGGTTATCTATAGGCTATACAATGTGACAGGCACACTACTTCTCCACACTGCACATAGACAGGCAGATGAATCTTTAGAAACCAAGACAAACAGAACACTGGAAACCAACAAAACAAACTCCATTACACCAGGGACCATGCCCACTTTGTCTGCCATTAGACACACCCAAGGCCTAGCATGTGTTGTGTGGAATAGCTCACTGAGTCCTTGGAACAAAAATCACCAAAAAAAAAAAAAAAAAAAAAAGTCTCAAATTCATAGATGAGTCTGTGTATCTTGATTGATAGTCCCATTGAAAAGGGAGGCTTCCATACCTTATTTAATGAATGGACCAAAATGTTTTTTGCTCCAATATCCTTTAAATCTCTTTCAGCATCATATTTTAAGTCATTTGATACACTAAACCTGTCAAAAAAAATAAACAAAATTAAAATTGATTTGCATTTTTTTTTATAGAACTAGGAACAGTCACATAGACACAATATAAACATGAACATACACACACTCACTCACTCACTCAAACTTTTCCTGAGGTGCTATATTAAAAGAAAACCAGGCCTCCTCAGCCCACATGGTGGAACTTACCACAGTGCTCTCTTTCTACTCAACAAATAGTTCTCATATATAATCCCTGCTATCGTCCGGCCTTTGCCCACACCAGCACCATCACCTATTAAGAAGCCAGCACGATCTCCATTAGGGAGGAATGTTTCATGTTGCTAAAAAGGGAAAGGTTGGAAGAACAGGTGTCATTTTCTCACCAAAGTAACTGATAAGGGGCCATGCTACTACCCAATCAAAACAGTCATGGAAATGTGTCATTACCCCTTCAAGCACTTTGACCTAAGAGTGACCCCTAGCATGGATACTCTTCTCTATATAAGTACTACACTCATTCCCTCTAGCCTGCCATACACTTAGCATCAAAGACAAGAAATTGGCAAGGTGGCTTCACTATTCCTTTAAATATCTGCTTGACAATTTGCCAACTTTGACACATTACTTAACCATGGGGGCAGTTGGCCACTCGCAGCATTACTTATCCTACAGTAATGGAGTTAAAAAGAAAATATCTCAAACATAACTGGAGTGAGTCCACTCACAAACTATATTACTAATAGTATTGCATAGTGCATGACTGCCAATTTACTACCTTATTGGTATGGGCACTCAAGTCTTTTCAGCAGGGAAAAAAATGAGGAAACAAACATTTTTACAAATACATCAGATTCTTAAAAGTAGAAGTCTTAGATAAAAAAATTAAATCTTCATATTAATAATATCCGCTCCCAAAAAAACAATATTTCCACATAAAATTCTAGGGTTATGACTTTTCATTTCCACCAGAAGACATTCTTAAGATCCATGCCATACTTTCTCTTTTCCTAATATATAATCTATTTTTCCTTCTTTGAGACAGAGTTTCTCTGTGAAGCCCTGGCTCTCCTGGAACACACTCTGTAGACCAGGCTGGCCTTGAACTCAAGAGATCCACATGCCTCTGGCTCCCAGGTGCAGAGATTAAAGGTATGCAGCTCCACTGTCTGTCTAATATATTACTTTTCAAAATTTTTATTTCCAAGTTTTTTGGGCAAGAAAAATTTACCTTTACTAAAACTGTATTATAAGGGGGTGGGAAAGATGGCTCAGTGGGTAAGGGCACTAAGTGTTCTTCCAGAGGACCTAAAATTTGATTCCCAGCACCCAGGCCAAATGACTCAAAACTGCCTGTAAATAACTCTAGCTGAAGCGTGAAAAAAATCAGACTTCCTCTTCTGGCCTCTGTCATTACCTGACACATGTGGAATACATTCATAAGATACACAAATACATACATATAAATACTAAAATAAACCAGGTATTGTGGTACACACCCTTAATCTCAACAGTCAGGAGGCTAAGCATGTGGATCTCTTCCTTCCTCCCTTTATTTTATTTTACTTTATTTTATTTATTGATTGATTGATTGACTGATTGGTTTTTCAAAGCAGGGTTTCTCTGTAGCTTTGGAGCCTGTCCTAGAACTATCTCCTGTAGCCCTGGTTGACCTGGAATTCACAAAGATCCGCCTGCCTATGCCTCCCGAGTGCTGGGATTAAAGGTGTGCACCACCCACCACTGCCTGGCTGATATAAATTTTGTTTTTTTTGCATTTTACTTTATATCAAGATAAACCATCAAACTTAACTAAGAATTACCTGGGCTGCGTAGGTAACCGCCTCGAGCTGCAACGCTGAGAGCCAGCCATTATCAATGGTCTCTTCAGAGATTGAAGTTTTGTACCAAACATCAGGAGGTGTGACACTGGACAAAGAACTAGTCTCCACTACTGCATCAGGGTGACGCAGGCCAATTTTTACTAAACAAAAATTTTAGAATATTTCATTTAAATCATTCTAGTAATATTTCCAATTTTATTACAAGATAGTATAAAATCAGTCTTATTACAGAGAAAATAGTAACTGAGCTTAACCCCAGTCCCTGGCATCCATCCCAACCCCCTGGCCTGAGAGTTGCATTGGTCTGGAACCGAAATCCCAGCAAGCCAGGACCTGATCCCCTCCATGGGGGAGGGTAAGGACTACTCCCACAAGATATTTTAGTGGACTCCCAGAGGAGGAACATGTGGTTCTAGGTTTCCATGTGCTCCCCGCTTACCTGTCTCCCCGCCATACCCTCAGCCATCGTATTTAATAAAACAATGGGCATTTTAATTTGGTTTGATCTGACCTAATTGGATTTCTTTGCACCAGCGGAGGCACTCGTCTTATGATTTTTTCCTAAGAGTAACCAGTCACATTGAGCTTATATATAAAGTTACTAACTATAATATACTACTCACATTTGACTAAAATGATCTAACTATACAATTTAGAGACTGGCGATGAAATAATCTAGTTTAAAGCACACCACAGTCAGGGAGCAGAGGCAGTCAGGCCTGTGTTTCAGACTTAGCTGGATATAGAAATACGTACTACTAGTCCCATTTACTATGGGGGATGTGATGATACTAAATCTTAATTGTTTAAGAGATTATTAAGATCAAGAAAACCCAAGTCTTTCATTTTGACAAAACCTAAAGACATACATTTTATTGGCATGTACTCTGCATACGTCTCTGCATGACCCATTTCTTCCTCATCTTCTTCTTCTGGTTCATCCTCCTCTTTAACAACAGGAACTTTCTGTAACACAAAAGTAAAATGAGCCGGGCGGTGGTGGCGCACGCCTTTAATCCCAGCACTCGGGAGGCAGAGGCAGGCGGATCTCTGTGAGTTCGAGACCAGCCTGGTCTACAAGAGCTAATTCCAGGACAGGCTTCAAAACCACAGAGAAACCCTGTCTCGAAAAACCAAAAAAAAAAAAAAAAAAAAGTACAATGAATCTTAAGTTTAGAGACAAAGGGCCAGAGTCTAGGGGACCTTTTTTCAATCTGCCAATACAAGGTGCCAACTGTGTATTCTGTAAAATCTCAGTTCTTGCCTGTCTATCCAAAGGTGAACAGCAATAATGGCAACCAACGCACAAATGAGTCATCACAGGGCTCTACTCCCTCCAGCTACCATCTAGAATTACTTTGTCCCTCAATGCTCATAATCTCTCCAACCTCATCCTCCTTCTTCAATCCAGGACTTGAAAGAACAAGGAATATGAAAACAAAAGGTGGGACACTCCAATTTACAATCTATGAAACCAAGACTTTCAAGTATATACAAATATTAACAAAAATGACATTTCTGACAGGTTTTCTTTCCCATTGTAAATATTCCTCAAATCACACTATCCACTCATGTGGGATGTCCTTCTGTGTATGTGGTTGTTTTATTGGATAATGAATAAAGTTGTTCTGGCCAATGGCTTAGCAAGAGTTAAAGCCAGGCTGGGAAATCCGAACAGAGATACAGAGAGAGAATAGGCGGAGTCAAAGAGATACCATGTAGCTGCCAAAGAAGACAGAAGATGGAACCTTACCAATAGGCCACAGCCTTGTGGTGATACACTGATCACCAGAAATGGGTTAATTTAAGGTGTAAGAGTTAGTTAATAAGAAACCTGAGCTAAGAATCCAAACCATGTTGGAATTGATATAGTTTCTGTGTGATTATTTGGGTCTGGGCTGAAGGGAAATGAACCATTTACAATGCACCTGCCTTTCTTCCTGCCCATTCATTACCACGCACTTCTTCCTCTAGTGTGTGTTTATAACCTCACCTCCTCCATAGAATTCATGTCTTCTTTATTTTTTTAATTATTTATCTTATTTTATGTGCATTGGTGTTTGGCCTGCATGTATGTCTATGTCTTGGAGCTACAGTCAGTTTTGAGCTGCCATGCTGAATGCTTGGAATTGAATCCAGATCCTCTGGAAGAAAAGCCAATGCTCTTAACTGCTGAGTTACCTCTCCACTTCCTGCCATGTCTTATATAAGCCCTGGCTCACTGGCCTGTAAGCAAGACACCAGCTCCTCAGTGTCTAATAGTGTTTGTCAAAGTCCATCACACCCCTCCTCAATAGAACCTACAGAATCATAGTCATAACAGTGTCCCTCATAACCCAGAGCCTTTACTGTACATTTTCCCCTCAGTTTTTAAGAGTGTGCCATCACACCTGATCCAGGTTGTACCTTTTCATGTCCCTTATACAGTTCCTTAAATCTAAATGGTGCCAAATAATATGTTTACTGAAAGATAACTCATGAAGGAAAATCCTTTCAGACACTCACTGCACAGACATACTGCCATTCAGAAACATGTCTCATGAACATGAGCTTAGGTACACAGTCAGACAGCTCCTACCCAGCTATTTATTTGAGTTTCACCAAGTTATCAAAAGTTTATGGCTAATTCCATGCTGTCATTTTTTTCCTGACCAAACATATGAATAAAAATGGTCAGCCCTAGCCGGGCAGTGGTGGCACACACCACCCAGCACTCAGGAGGCAGAGGCAGGCAGATCTCCGTGAGTTCGAGGCCAACCTGATCTACAAGAGCTAGTTCCAGGTCAGGCTCCAAAGCTACAGAGAAAACCTGTCTCAAAAAACAAAAGACAAACAAACAAAAAAGGTCAAATGTCAACCCTGCAAAGAACACCATGGCCCAGGGAAGATGCAAGTTCAGGCCTTAGCATTTGTGATTAATTAGCCTATGTCCACTCAACAAGCTTTCTAGGTGGGCGGTGGTGGCGCACGCCTTTAATCCCAGCACTTGGGAGGCAGAGGCAGGCGGATCTCTGTGAGTTCAAGACCAGCCTGGTCTTATAAGAGCTAGTTCCAGGACAGGCTCCAAAACCACAGAGAAACCCTGTCTCGGGAAAAAAAAGAAAAAAAGAAAAAAGTTTAAATGTATGGGCTGGAGAGATGGCTCAGTGGTTAAGAGCATTGCCTGTTCTTCCAAAGGTCCTGAGTTCAAATCCCAGCAACCACATGGTGGCTCACAACCATCTGTAATGAGGTCTGGTGCCCTCTTCTGGCCTGCAGACAGAATATTGTATACATAATAAATAAATAAATATTAAAAAAAAAGCTTTCTGAGGATATTTCTAAGGTAATTTTATACAAGTAATTTAACTATTTAAAACTCACCATGGTGGGGGAAAAACTCCTCATTTTCATGTCATTTATCCATATTCTTGCTACTTCTTTATTAGAAGATTCTTTTTTTACTGCACCATTACTGACATCAGCTGCAGGAAGAGAAGTAGATTAAATTTTACAAGTCTCAAATTCTTTCCCTCTAGTTTAAAAATTCATCAGTTTATTCATTTCAAAAAAAAGTATCTCCTGGGCGGTGGTGGCACACACCTTTAATCCCAACACTCAGGAGGCAAAGGCAGAACGATTTCTTTGAGTTCGAGGCCAGCTGATCTACAAAGTGAATTCCAGGACAGCCAGGGCTGTTACACAAAGAAATTCTAAAAAACAAAAAACCTAGATATTGTGGTGACAGGAGAATCCCGGAGACGCATTGGCTAGCCAGACTAGCCCCTCCCTGGAGAGAAAGGGGCTGCTAGACAGGGCAGACAGACAGGGCGAGAGGTTTGCATCTGCTCTACCATGCACCTTTTACTTCTCTTCACAGCCTAGCCCTTCTTAGAAATATAATATATTCCCTATCTTTCTTCAGTACAACACAAGCTCCTGGAGGGCAACGATTTCCGCCAGCAACACCTCAAAGTCAAGAAGGGAGCTGACAAAATACACTCAGTAGTTACTTATTCAATGAGCAAAAGAGGTTTCAAAGACTATAAAAACCTACATTCTTGGCCGGGCAGTGGTGGTGCACGCCTTTAATCCCAGCACTGGGGAGGCAGAGGCAGGCGGATCTCTGTGAGTTCGAGACCAGCTTGGTCTACAGAGCTAGTTCCAGGATAGGCTCCAAAGCCACAGAGAAACCCTGTCTCGGAAAAAAAAAAAAAAACACATTCTTAAACTGGGTAGCAGTAGCAAACACTTTTGGTCCCAGCACTCAAAAGGCAGAGGCAGCCTGATCTATATAGCCCAACTTCCAGGACAACCAAGGCTACACAAGAGAAACCATCTTGGGAATGGGGTGGGAGACCAAAAACAAAACCAAACCGAAAACAGAGCTAGAAAGAGAGTTCAGAAGTTAAGACAGTTTACTGCTCTTGTAAAGGACCAAGGTTCATTTCCCAGCACCCACAAGGCAGCTCACAAGAACTTCACTCCTAGTGAAGTTAGATACCCTCTTCTAGCCTCCATTGGTACTTTATGCATAAGGTACACATAAATATACTCAAGACACACGTGCAGAAAAAAATAATGAAAACACCCAAAACCACTTGTGAAACACACACACACACACACACACACACACACAAAATAGTATGTGAAAGCAGACGTTCAAACAGCTGAAAACAACTTACTAGCTGCAGTCGCAACTGGCTGAGCAATGTTAGCAGGTGGTTTCAGTTTCATGAGTTCATTTAGACTATTATTTTTCAGTAAATCCTTCAACTGAACCTGGTCTTTTGAAGGAGCAGGGGGCAAGGCATTTCGTACTGCTGGTGCTGAGACTGAAGGGCGTGTGTTTGCCGTAGTCTGGATAAATTTTGTCAAAGTGATGGTTTGCCTATTGGTTGTTGCAGGTGGTGTTTTAGTCATAACAATTGTAGATCCCAAGGTCGGAAGTTGATTTATTTGATTCAGCACAAATGTTGTAGTGGATGGAGGCTGCTGCTAGAAAAGAAAAAACACTTTACATACTCAATTTGACTCAGATAGTCTGCAGAGTAAACCTGGTAATCCATTTAGAAATCTAAAACTAGATGCTAGACAGATGGCACAAAATGGAAAGCTGCAGGCACAAGAACCTTCCATCTCCAGGACACAGACCACATGTCCATCAGGCAGTCATGCACATCTGTTCACACCAATGCTCTGACAGCGACTTGAGGCAGAGAGAGAGAGACCTGTCTCCAACAAGATGAAAAGTGAAAACTGTTCTCTGACCACATGCCTGCGGGGTACATATGAGCTCAGAGTCAACATACATACAATCTAAACTTTATTCTTGTTTAACTAATGGTACTTTATTTCTACTTTAATGACTAGCTATAAATTATCAAGCTAAAAACACAACAATCAGAAATGGGTGTAGTAGTAATTTGACACTTTATATAAGCATAAGAAAATTATAAAAATTATAATGAGAAGCTATTCCAATCTATCTGTGACTTACAATAACTCTAGACCTAGCAACAACCAAAAAAAAAAAAAATTCTATCCAACACTGCCTACCAGGCAGACATATAAATCACTTAAGACCCAGGTTTTGAGGTCAACTTTTTTTTAAAGATTGCTACTGTTGCCAGGCATGGTGGCATACATCTTTAATCATAGCACTTAGGAAACAAAGGCAGGTGGATCTTCTGGTTTGAGACCAGCCTGGTCTAGAGAGCGAGCCAGGATAGCCAGGGCTACCCAGAGAAGCCTTGTCTCAAGAAAACGGAAAGACTGCTATTGTCATTTAATTTACTGTCATTTCTTTTCATTTGTATGGCTAGGGTATGTGCAGGTTCCTATGGAAGCTCGAGACACCAGAACCTCTTTAAGCTGAAGTTACAGACATGTGACAGCTGCCCAATATGGGTAATTAATTCTGCAATAGCAATAGTTAACTGCTGAACCATCATTCAAGCTCTTTGAAGCCAACTTTCTGTTAATATTGCACTTCTTTTCGTTAAAAACAAAAACCTTTCAATTTTTCCCAAACGTGTGGAAGCAAGAGGGGAACTTGAGGGACTCAATTTTCTCCTTCTACTGTATGGCTCCCAGGGATATTTGGGTCTTTTTCCCCCCCAGGACAGGGTTTCTCTGTAGCTTTGGAACCTGTCCTGGAACTAGATCTTGGAGACCAGGCTGGCCTCGAACTCACAGAGATCCACCGGTCTCCTGAGTGCTGGGATTAAAGGTGTGCACCACCACTGCCTGGCTGATACTTGGGTCTTAAGGCATAGCAACAATCATCTTTACCACTGATCCATCTCAAAGACCCAACACTGTCTTTCCTGTTCAATGCTGTTTGCCATCGTATAGGTCACACTACATTTTAGAGTCTAAAAGATAACTAAAGGTGAACACCAAATACTGGTAATTTGGTGGTTACTCTCAATAGTACTGTTAGAGAGGAGGTGAAGTGAGAAGAAAACAGGGAAGAGAAAAGAAAAAGCTGAGCACAGTGGCTCAAGACTGTGAGAGCCAAAGTTGGCAAAGAGATGTAGAATGTGTAGAAATTGAGCACAAGGCCAACATGACCTACAAGAGACCCTATCTCAAAAAATTAAAAAAAATGAAATAAAAATAAAGGCAACTTGAAAATGCTATTGTCTTTGGCTTTAAAGTTACTATGTATTTCTGCATATCATTGGTGTTTATGTTTGTCCTTGTGCCACTGGGATCATCCAGGGCCTGGCATCTGCAAGGCTAGTCCACCACTAAGCTACAACTCTAGCCTCTTTCCATAACTCTTTCAATAAAATCTTCTAGACTGCTATTTACCACTTCAAGTATTTATTTTTTTCTTTTGGTTTTTCAAGACAGGATTTCCTGTGCAACAGTCCTGGCTATCCTGAGACTCACTCTGTAGACCGGGCTGGCCTCAAACTCAGAGATTCACCTGTCTCTGCCTCCCAAATGCTGGGATTAAAGGTGTGCACCACCACTGCCTGACTTATTTACCACTTTTACACTAACAATACAAATTGACAAATTTTAACCAGTTCAACCAATAATTTTATATCCTTTGGATTTTGTTGATATTGGTTAAATTTGAGCCAAGGTCAAAAGAACTCTTTCTATAAAGCACAATTAATCACATAAAAGCTATAGCAAAACAATTGACAAAAGCCAAGGCAGCAAACACTGAAAATCGTGAGGTAACATGTACATTCATCTCACCAATTTTGTTTTTAATAATTTACAATATGCTAGCATCCTCTGGGACATAGGGAAATCAAGGCTAGCCAGGGCTAAAGATCTTATTTAAAATAAAGTTATATTTTTGCTACCACCCTAAGCCATTCTAGAAGTAATACCAAATCTGAGTGGCTCTTACCCTCACATTTAACAGTGCAGGAGTAGACATTGTCTCTGGTTCTTGTTTAACAGGAACTGCTGCTTCTGTCTCCAAACCTAGTTCTAATGCACTAAGTGGCATCGACTGGAGAGAAAATACAGAGAAAGGATGGACAGCAGTGAATTCTGTTTCAAGAACAAGAGTTGCATTTATTTTATTAAAAAGAAAAAAATGAAACTTCAGAGCTGGATTTTACTTGGGAGGTAGAGCACTTGCCTAGCCTGTAGAGTCCTTGGCTCAGACCCCAGTACCATACACACAAAAGATTTATAATCAAACAGGATGTACAATAACTAAACCAGTTATAACAGAATAATATTGGTCAGCATAAATCTCCACAACACTACATTAATATCAGAACTTTATTTTTGCAAATGTAAAGAGAAGTCACACACAAAAAAATTAATTCTCTTTCTATATGAATGCTAAGAAGTAAGAAAAGCAGTATCTTGTGATGGCTCAGAGGTTAAGAGCACTGACTGCTCTTCCAATGGTCCTGAGTTCAATTCCCAGTCACCACATGGTGGTTCACAGCCATCTGAGATCTGGTGCCCTCATCTGGCCAGCAAGCATACAGACACACAGAACACTGTATACATAATAAATAAATAAATCTTTAAAAAAAAGCAGTATCTTGGCTTTGATGCAAATAATATCTACTTCATTAATAAAAACGGCATAAAAACAATATTCACAAGATTATTTTATTTATTTGTTTGTTATGTACACAGTGTTCTTCTTGCATGTGTGTGTGCATGTCAGAAGAGGGCACCAGATCTCATTACAGATGATTGTGAGCCAACGTGGCTGCTGGGAATTGAACTCAGGACCACTGGAAGTCAGTGCTCTTAACCTGAGTCATCTCTCCAGTCCCTCACGTGTATATTTAAAATTAAGCCTTATTGCTGGGCGGTAGTGGAGTATACCTCTAATTCCAGCACTTGGGAGGCAGAGGCAGGTGAAGCACTGGGATTTCAACGCCAGTCTGGTCTACAAATTAAGTTCCAGAGCAGCCAGGGCTACAAGGAGAAACCCTGTTTAGAGCTGGAGAGATGGCTCAGAGGTTAAGAGAACTGGCTATTTTTCCAGAGGACCTGAGTTCAATTCCCTCCAACCACATGCTGGCTCAATCTGGTGCCCTCTTCTGGCCCAAAGGATACTGTATGCACAATAAATAAACAAATGAATAAATGTGAAAGAAAGAAAGAAAGAAAGAAAGAAAGAAAGAAAGAAAGAAAGAAAGAAAGAAAGAAAGAGAGAGGAAGAAAGAAAAAGAGGAAGAAGAAAGCCGGGCGGTGGTAGCGAACACTTTTAATCCCAGTTCTTGGGAGGCAGAGGAAGGCAGATTTCTGTTGAGTTCAAGGCCAGCCTGGTCTTACAAAAGCTAGTTCCAGGAGAAAAACCAAAATAAATAAATAAATGAATGAATGAATGAATGAATGAATGAATGAAATTAAAAAGAAAAAAAAAAAGAAAGAAACCCAGCTTAGAATCCTTCACAAAAAAGTTAAGGTCTACTTAATATCTTTTTCTAAAATGTTAATTAAAGCTGAGGCTATACATCAGTAGTGAAGTTGCTTAGGATAGCACAAGTGCCAGGGTTCAATCACCAAAACTACAATCAGGAAAAAAACTAATGCTAATAATAAATGATACCAGGTGGTGGCAGTGTGCACCTTTAATCCTTTAATCCCATCACTAGGGAGGCAGAGGCACGAGGATCTCTGTGAGTTCAAGGCCAGCCTGGTCTACAGAGCTAGTTCTAGGACAACTAGGACTGTTGAAACCCTGTCTCAAAACAACAACAACAACAAAAAGGACAATGGAAATTGCAAATTAAGATGGAATTCCGGAGGATTTACCTGTTGAACTGAAGGAGGAGTAGGAGTCGTGAGCCCAGCATCTCCACCATCAACATCAAAGAGGTCGTTCGGACTAATCCCACTCTCGCTCAAGGCAGCAAGCAGTAAATCTTGCCCTGGTTCCACCATCTTAGAACAAAGTGAAAAATATTAACTCTCTTCTAAACACAAGCAATCCAACATTTTCTATCAGAGCTGTTCATTCAGTACTTATGAAGAACCTGCTACATGTCGGAAAAAGAGAACATCTTTGACCCCAGTAACCTCACACTAAAATAAAATGAAAGGACACAGAAATACAGCATTCAGAGCCAAGAGTCTCTTACTCCTTGGCCTTTTGACTAAGATCGAGAGGTTATTCCTAAACACTATGAAGCTGGGCATGGCAGTACATGCCTTTAATCCTAGCACTCAGGAGGCAGCAGAGGCAGGCTGCTCTCTCTCTGAGTCTGAGGCCTGCCTGGTCTACACAGTGAATTCTAGAACATCTAGGGCTATAAAATAAAATAAAAACACACTACAAGGTCAAAGGAGGCAAAAGTGAACTCTGCACAGGTTCCTAGGTAGATGACAATACTGAGTTCAGGGGAAGAAATAATCAGAAAGACTAGTGTCTTCTGAATCCTGCATTCCAATTAACTGTAAATTCACATACCAGGGACCCACACAGGAGAAGGTTATGATCTGTGGCCTCACTCATCCTTCTACAAGGATACAGGCCACTACTGGGTTTTCAGATGCAGGACAGCTTGGGACAACAGTTTCTTATGTAGAAAGATTACTGACGGCAGTGTAAGAGCAAACTGAGGGAACTTAGGAAGACATCCACTGCAACAAGCACTGGGACTGCAGTGGCTAGGAGAAGGAAGACAAATATGTTCTAAGGTATTTAGCAAATTAAAACCCAGGGGCTGGACCTGGCGGTGGCAGAAGGAACACACCTTTAATCCCTGCACTGGGGAGGCAGAGGCAGGCAGGCAAATCTCTGAGTTTGAGGTCTGAGAAACCCTGTCTCAAAAACAAAACAAAACTCAAAAAAGAAGAAAAAGCCATGGGCTAGAAAGTTGGGTTAAAAGAGCACATTCCACTCTTCCAGAGGACCTAGTTTCAGTTACCAAATTACCAAATACATGCATACAAAATGCCCATATGCATAAATTAATTTAAAAACTTTAAATTTTAATTTTTCTAAATTACACATACATTCTTGCGATAAGTTTTTCCTAGGAAATACATTGTGTTACATACACAATATACCTCAGCTGTGTGATACATGACATCCCACACGAAGAGGGTTAGTTAGCAAAGCACCAAAGCTGCAATCTAATAGCAACTGTTAAAGAGAAAGTAGACAGAGAAATCCTCAGCCCGGCCTATGTCACATTTACCAGTGAATCATTTAGATAGAAGGAAGTTCTAAGTCAGGTGAACATTCTTACTGAAACCGAAGTTTTGTAGAAAACAAAGTTTTCTACAAAAATTTTCAGAGAGCCGGGCGATGGTGGCGAACGCCTTTAATCCCAGCACTCGGGAGGCAGAGGCAGGCGGATCTCTGTGAGTTCGAGACCAGCCTGGTCTACAGAGCTAGTTCCAGGACAGGCTCCAAAGCCACAGAGAAACCCTGTCTCGAAAAAACAAAACAAAAATTCAGAGAAAGAAAAGGAAGTCTGAGATAGAAAACCATCTTGGGGACTGGAGAGATGGCTCAGTGGTTAAGAGCAATGCCTGTTCTTCCAAAGGTTCTGAGTTCAATTCCCAGGAACCACATGGTGGCTCACAACCATCTGTAATGAGGTCTGGTGCCCTCTTCTGGCCCGCAGGCATACACACAGACAGAATATTGTATACATAATAAATAAATAATTATTAAAAAAAGAAAAAAGAAAACCATCTTGGGCAGTAAAGATGATGGGTTAAGGAAAGTCAACAGGAAATCCCCCAAACTGCCAGTCAGGCTCTCATACACAACAGCACCTAAGTCACAGCAACCTAGGCAGCCATGTGATATAACTTAAAAGTTACAATTTAAATTGACATAATCATACCTTTGCATAGACAAAGTGAAAGATTAGAATCCAAATAGTAAAAACTCACAAAGCTCTTTCCAGCAAGAAGATAAAAAACTGACACCATGCTTTAATGTTCTGCTCTGGGATGAATGCTAGGCACTTGAACTAAAATGGAAAAGAAGAACTCCAGATTAAGGGGAAGCTGAGGGGCCGGGCAGTGGTGGTGCAGGCTTTTAATCCTAGCACTTGGGAGGCAGAGGCAGGCGGATCTCTGTGAGTTTGAGACCAGCCTGATCTACAAGAGCTAGTTCCAGGACAGGCTCCAAAGCCTGTCGAGTGCTGGGATTAAAGGCGTGCGCCACCATAGCCCAGCGTGGTGCTAGAATTAAAAGACTGCTCCACCATGCCTGGCCTCACTGAGCTTGTTTTTTTCTTTCTGAGATCATTTTTCTGTGTAGCCTGGCCTCAAACTCACAGAGATCCACCTGTCTCTGCATCCCAAGTGTTGGCGACCACTACCTGGCCTTACTGAGTTTTTTAACTGTTTCCTTAACAATAAAGATTAAAAGTACAAAAACAAGGAAGGGAAGAATTTTTTGATATTCATACAAGGAAAGATGCGCATAGCAACACAAGGCATGATCAGAGCTCATCTCAACAGGCACTTTTGGAGATGGCAGTGCTTTAGTCATTCCAAAGGTTGTTCATCAAAAATGAACATATGTAACTTCTACCTGTTGACGAAAATTAAGGGGACTTGAGGATAAAAGTGAGATGATACCTAACATGGATAAATAAGACCTGGAACTAGGGCCTGGAGAGATGGCTCAGCGGTTAAGAGTATTGCCTGCTCTTCCAAAGGTCGAGTTCAATTCCCAGCAACCACATGGTGGCTCACAGCCATCTGTAATGAGGTCTGGTGCCCTCTTATGGCCTGCAGACATACACACAGTCAGAATATTGTATACATAATAAATAAATATTTTTAAAAAAAAAAGACCTGGAACTAGCTTGAGGCCAGTCTGCTCTACAGAGTTCCCAAGACAGTTAGGAGAACAAAGAGAAACTCTGTCTCAAAAAAAAAAAAATTAAAAGTTCTGGCCCAGTACTGAGAAAAAACAACAAAATATGAAGGAACACAGTGTAAGACCCTTGGATCCCACTAGGAATGATTTGAATGTTAGATGTATCTTTCTCATACAGGGATCTATCTATGGAGCTTTCCAGGCAGTTTGGCACATATCTTCTAGTCATTCTGTTCTATAGGAAGCTAGAGAACAAGACAGAACACTCACCCCATTCTCTAACTGTATTAAGCAACTTAGTATTTAATCATATCCCACATGCAACAGACTCACAGAACTTCAGTGAAAGCCCTTGAAAGCTGCACTGGCCAATCTCCTGGTTTTATGAAAGCAGCTTCATGGGGGGGAGGGGATTTCACAATATAAATCCAAAACAATGCTGCATGTAGAAACTGTCACTGTGTCTACCACGGAGTTCATATTTCAGGTGACAACTGCCAGGTAGCAATCTAACAAGCCTAACAATTACCACACAGTCATCAACTACAAATGGAGTTTCACTTTTGCCAAAAGCACATCTGAAGGCATACATGGAGAGGCTGGTATACGGAGTGTGTTATAGGAACTGTACCACTTTGCCAGGGAATCCTGAGAAGCAATGTCACCCAAAAGAGCAGAAAGTACAGCACTCATTAACACCAACATCGACCCTTATCAGCAGGGATGAGACAGAGGAGACTAGAGCTCTTCATTGGTCTGAGCAGATACAAGGGACATCATCTGCAAGGCAAGAGATCAGAAAGAACATAGGTTCAAAACTGGGCGCATCACCCAATAGTGCTCTAATACAGTCAAGTTAAAAAACAAAACAAAGCCAGGCAGTGGTGTGGCAAGTGCCTTTAATCCCAGGGAGGCAGGGGAAGAAGGATCTCTGTGAGTTCAAGGCCAACCTGGTCTAAAGAGCTAGTTCTAGGACAGGCACCAAAGCTACAGAGAAACCCTGTCTCAAAAAAAAAAAAACAAAAAAATTTTTATTAATAGCCAAAACCAGTCGTGAATGCCTTTAATCCTAGCACTTGGCACGCAGAGGCAGGCCGAACTCTGAGTTCAAAGCACTCTGCCTCAAAAAAAAAAAAAAAAAAAAAGAGGTGGACGCACACAACAATGGGGTTGGCAGGGCACAAGTGAAAAGTAAAGGAAAACTTTGTAGAGTCATCTCTGTTTTTTTTTTTTGTTTTTTGTTTTTTTTTTTTTTCGAGACAGGGTTTCTCTGTGGCTTTGGAGCCTGTCCTGGAACTAGCTCTTGTAGACCAGGCTGGCCTCGAACTCACAGAGATCCGCCTGCCTCTGCCTCCCAAGTGCTGGGATTAAAGGCGAGCGCCACCATCACCCGGCTGAGTCATCTCTGTTACCTTAACAGTGGGATCAATTTCAAGTTGTCAGGCTTTTGCAGTAAGCACATTTACTAAGCAGCCTCCCTGGCCCTTAACTACTATTTTGATAAACCTGTGTATACAAAAAGATCCCCCCCCTTTTTTTATAACTGCTACACCACTATACTTTCCAGACTAAAAACTTTTAATGACAGCAATCCATGCGCCTTAGTTAGGGTTTCTACTGCTGTGAAGAGACATTGTGACCACCACAACTCTTATTAAGGAAAACATTTAGTTGGGGTGGCTTACAGTTCCAGTTATCATGGCAGGGAGCATGTTGGTCTACAGGCAGATGTGGTGCTGGAGAAGCAGCTGAGATCCTACATATTTCAGGCAAAGACAACTGAGCCACTGGCAATATCCTGAGCATAAGAAACCTCAAAGCCCGCCCCTACAGTGACACACTTCCTCTAATAAGGCCATACCCACTCCAACAAAATCATACTCTCTAATAGTGCCACTCCCTATGAGTTTATAGGGGCCAATTACATTCAAACTATCTAGCCATCTAATAATTCATTTCTAAAATAGTTCTGTAAGGGGATGGAGAGATTGCTAAGTGGTTAAGATCACTGACTGCTCCTGCAGAGAATGTGGGATTTGATTCCCAGCACCTACACAGCGGCTCAGAACCATCTGTAACTCCAGTTACAGGGGATCCAGCACTTTCTTCTGGCCTCCAAGGCACCAAGCACACATGTGGTATATATACATATACACAGGCAAACACCCATACACATAAAATAAGAAAAATTTAAATCTTTTTAGCCAGGCACCTTTAGTCCTAGCACTTGTGAGGCAGAGGCAGCTAGATCTATGAGTTCAAGTTCAGCCTGGTTTAGAGTGAGTTCCAGGATATCTAGAGCTACAAGAGCGGAAAAATCAAAACCAAACAACAAAAACTTAAAAAAAAATAGTTCTATAAAATACTACTTAAGTGTCTCACATCTAATTTATGCAGATAATCAGATACCTAAAGACAATTGACAGACATTTCCAAATGTACATGAATACTATCACTTAGTATTTTTGCCTGAACAAATAACAAGCTGGGCATGGTGGTGAAAGTCTTTAGCTTAGCACTCAGAAGGCTGAGACAGGTGGACCTTTGAATTTGAGGCCAACTTGGTCTACAGAGTTCCAGGACAGCCCAGGCTACACAAAGATACCCTATCTCAGAAAATAACCCACCGTTTTGTTTTGAAACTCTTTTTAAATAGCATAGGGACACCTGGCAGCACAGGCCTAAGACCCTAGCTACTCCAGAGGCTGAGGCAGATAGATCACCTATTCAAACCAGGCTGAGCTATAGAGTTCAGGACAGCCTGCATGTTTTAGTAAAAGCCTCCTTCAAAATAAACATCACAAAGGGGTCTGTGGGCACTGCTCAGTGTTAAAGAAGCAGGCTAGCATGGCCCAAATTCCTAAATTCAAATTACCGAGACACATAGAAAGACAGAAAGTCACAGGCACACACCTCACCTTTCAAAGCATGCCTGATTCAAGCCTCGGCTTCAGTTCTCCATCATACCAGACTGAAGACTGGCATTTAGTTTAATAATCGGAGGAAGCCGGCAAGGCCAGCACTTACAAATTGAAGGTAGAAGGATTAAGACGTCCAAGGTAATCCTCAACTATATAAGGAGTTCATGGCTAACCTGAGGCACATATGACCCTGAAAAACTAACAGAGCCAGAGGCAGGTGAATCTCTTGAGTGGAGGCCAGCCTGGTCTACAGAGTAAATTCTAAGACAGCCAGAGCTGTTACAAAGAAACCCAGCCTCAAACAAACAAATAAAATTACATCCACAGGTGTGTACAGACACACACTTTTAACCTTAGCACTCAGGAGGCAGACAGGTGGATCTCTTTTGAGTTTAAGGCCAGCCTGGTCTACAGAGTGAGTTCCATAATGGGGGGGGGAGGGGGAAGACAAGAAAAAATGGAGAAGGGAAAGCAAAACTCTTTATCACTAATACCTCAAATTCAATTGGCTAATACCTCTTTTTTTTTTTTTTTTTTTTGGTTAAGTTTTTTGAGGCAGAGTATCCCGTGTGGCTCAGGGTGACCTTCAATTCCTAATCCTGAATGCACCTCCCAGTGCTAGGATTACAGTCACACACTCCGACATCTTTAATACTTTTTATGGATAGGTTTTTCTTTCCACCCTCCACAAGAGTATCTTTTTGTCACAAAGGAGCTAACGCCTAGAGAGGAAGAATGCAACAAGGTAACAAGTATACAAGCTTGGAATCCAATTCTAAACCCAAAAGACCCATTAATACCTAACTTCTCTATACCCCTGCCCTTCCCAGCCCAATGGGTGGCCTCCATATTCACAGGCTCAACATTCCCAAGTTCAATGGTGAAGGTGGCACGTGAATTCCACACATGTAAACCCAGCAGTTAGGTCAGAACTTCCAAGCCAGCCAAGGCTACACAGTGAAACCTTCCTTTCTTATTTTCAAAAAAAAAGAAAAGAAAAGAAAAGCTTCAATAGACAATAAAAACACTGCATGAACACACATACTGCTCACTAGGTAACTAGTGCCAATAGCTCCTCATACATCATATATACCTAGTAGGTATTGTAAACAATCTGGAGACAAAGGGCCTACCTTACACGCAAATGTGACACTACCACAAATGGGACTTAAGCATCTACAAACTTTTCCTATTTTCTGGAGTCTTGAGCTGATCCCTTTAGATACCAAGAGGCTACTACTGCACCACTAGTGTTTTCTATCTGTGGTTGACAATTTAATGGTGGGCTGTCAAAGTAGTTTACAGTATTATAGCCAACATAATCAAATATTAGAGTATAGTAAACCATTCCAAAACACACAGGTGTCAAGAGCAAACATTTTATGAGATTTTGTGTTTTATGCACTAGCATTAGGTCACAAATATTTCCTACTGTAGAATATAATAAAACCACCTGGAAATAGTCTTCTATTTTGTTAAACCCCAACAAGTAAGTTTATCTGATATGTTTTGAACTACCTTTAACTCTGACTTCCTCCTCTTCAAGAACCCGACCATTAGCTGGCCTTTAATCCCAATATTAAGGAGACAAAGGCAGGCAGATCTCTGGGTTCGAAGCTAGTCTGGTCTACAGAGGGAGTCCCAGAACAATCAGAGTTATTACAGAGAGAAACCCTATCTGGAAAAACAAACAAACAAACAAAATAAAAACCCTTCCATTTATAAAATGTTCTGTGGCATCTCAACCATTGTCCTAAAGCTGGACAAATTAAAACCTTATCAAAGTGGATCTGCTAATCAGCATATAAAAACCACAGTCATTTTATTTATTAGTTGTTTATTTAAAAGGAAAACCTCTCAGAAACTATCTTTACGTGAACCTTTAAAAAAATCTATTTTATAGTCAGGCATAGTGGTGCACACCTTGAAACTCAAGAACTCAGAAGGCAGCAGCAGGCAAATCTCTGAGTTCAAGGCCAATCTGGTCTACATAGTGAGTTCCAGGACAGCCAGGGGTACACAGTGAGACTCTGTCTCAAAATAATAACAACAATAATAATTACATCCATTGGAGAAGATGCACAGCGCTATGGCTCCCATGTGTGGAGGTCAGAGGACAAGTGTTCTCTGCTTCCACCATGTGAATCCCAGTAATCACACAGTAGTCAGACTTAGTAACAGTGTCTCAACCAGCTATGCCACTGCAGTGGCCTTTTAGATGACCTTTAAACGTAGGCAAGCAAAGCTCAGGGGTCTACTGTACCTCTTGAGAAACTACTTGGCAGGACCAGACCAGTGTATTCTCACCCTTGCCAGATGGCAAGCCTCACCTCAAAGTTCAACTTAAACACCAAAAAGCACCAAAGCCCTATCTAAACATGGATGAGGTCTTTGAAGCACAACTTTTCTAAAGCATATAAACCACTGGACATGATAACAGTGCAGGCCTACAAGTCCATCATCAGGGAAGCTGTGACAAGAAGATTTTGAGTTGGAAGCCAGCCCAGCTACATAAGGAAATTATAAGGAGTCAGTATCAAAATTAAAAGCCTAAAAAAATAAAAAGCTTATCAAGAGTCTCATCGGGCAGTGAGTGGTGGCACATGCCTTTAAAGTACTCGGGAGGCAGAAGCAGGTGGATCTCTGTGAGTTCGAGGCCAGCCTGGTTTATAAGAGTTAGTTTCAGGATAGGACAAAGCTAAAGAGAAACCCTGTCTCGAAAAACAAACAAAAAGAGAATCAAGAGTCTCGGATGGTGGTGGCACTCAACTATAAGAGCAGCACTGGGGAGACGAAGGCAGGCAGATCTCTAAGCCTTTACGGATAATCTGGTCTACAGAGTGAGTTGACAGCCGGGTCTACAGAGAATCCCCGTCTCAAAAAATGAAAACAAAAAGCAAAAGTACACACACACCACATTGGCCATTTTTAAGCAGTAACTTCAAAGAACTTGACTTTTATAAAAGTGCGTAACATAAAATTCTTGAATGAACCAATAAACGTAGGCTCTCTTTTTTAACATTTATACAGCAACTAAAGTAAAGTTGGATTTAAAATTCTAAAGGGAGTTGCACGGAATGAAGTTAAACTGCAAGCAAAAGCCAGAATAAAGAAGTCTTCTCTCATTACTTGGAAAAAGACTTTATACAAAGATGGAAATTAACGTTCCTGCACTATCAGAATCAATGTCCTACTTAAGTCACCAGCGGCAAACGTCATTTCATCCTAGAAATTCTTTGTAAACCCATCGTTTGCATAACAATTCTTTCTCCAATGCTATGAAAACCGACCCTAACTTTGGGGCCTTAAGACTGTTAACCGGTAGAACTCTATGCAAATGCTAAATAAGGTGACCGGCTGGCTCTAGGACACTTTGGGTTTGACAGGTCGCTGGACCCTCCCGGAAGACTCTTTAGAAGCCTTCTTCCCCCCCCCCTTTAATTCTCAAAGTCTAGAGAAAATAAACATTTTACTCAAAATATCCTGCAAGCAATCGACGTTTAAAGGTCAAAGGGGACCGTTTTTTAACCTTCCCTCAACACGTGTTCAGCACAAACTTCCGGGTGCAGCTACAATTGGCTGCGCAATTCAATGGATTAAAACGATGCTCTCGTGGGCTCTCATTTTATCTCCAATCTTCCCCCTTGCGCACGCTTCTCAACCAGCGACTCCCCCCAAACAAAAGCATCCCACAGCAAACGGAGCAATTACATGAAAGGAGCTTTCTACATAGGAACATCAAGTTAGTGGTCCGCAAACATTAACCAAACTGAAGCACAAAGCCGGGATATAAAGGGGAGGAGCTGGATGCCGGGGTCAGGAAAGCAATAAACACACGGGTTCGGACAAATCCAAGGCTACGAAGCGGTGGAGCCCATCCCACGCCACTCCGGGAAAACACCAGCAGACACCGCTTTGAGGAACTTGGGTGCTCACTACATACATCCACCACTACTAAGGTGAGCAGATGTCCAACCGCCATCGCCCTCCTCACGGATTGCGCTCAGAGTCTGAAGCTGCACTCACTTCAGGGGAAGCTAAAGTCGCCACGGCGAGGCGTGAAGGTGTCCCCCACGTGTCCCACGCACCCCACCCGCCAGGGAACCAGGTTCAGGAAGGGCATCCCGATGTGGCCCACCGGTTCCCGGAATAGGGGTAATGGGCCTGAGTGACTCGAGCAGGATCTCCGCCTCACTTTCACCGCCCGTCTCGGCTGTGTAAAAGGGGAGAAGGCGAGGGACGCGATCGCCCGTGGAGCCGCCGTGCGCAGGGCCGAGCTGCCCGGCCTCGGTGCTGCTATCCGGCTCGGGACAGCGGGACTCCCACAGAGACGGCGCTGCCTGGCGGAGGACGCCGAAACCAACGGGGCGGCCAGCGGTATGAGAACGAGCAGCGGGCGAGCGAGGCCCGAGCAGCCGTGAATTGGCCGCCTCCCCCCACAACCGGCCCCACACGGACCCCGAGGAGCGCTGGTGGGAGTGGGAGGCTGTCCGGACGGACGAGCGTGGAAGGAGAAAAGGACTGAGGGAAGGACTTACTTTACCCGCCGGACCCGACGCCAGAATAGCTTCTCCCGGTCCGTGAGCGCGTGAGGAGCCGGAGGCAACAGGAGCGGAGGCGGCGGCGGCGGCGGCGGCGGCGGCAGAAGCGGCGTCCGGCTCTGCCTACCTCCCCGCCGCCATCTTGACGCCCCTCCTCCCGACCCCCCGCCCCGCAGGAAGAGGGGGCGGGGCGACGGATCAGGTGCCGCGCGCACGCAGCGCGCGCCACGCCCCACGTGACTCCCTCCCCCATCCCTTTTTCGCCCCGCCTCCTTCCTAAGTGAAGGAAGCTGATTCGCCCCCCCCCCATCTTGGCCGCCCCCTCTGCCTTCGCCACCAAAACCGGACTCCGCCAGGTCCCGTTACCCTGGTACCAGTGATGGGATCCAAGAGAATTCCGGAACCCAAACGGTCCATTACCGCGGCTCCGGGGTGGGCGAAGGGAGAGGGGGCCGGGTTTCCGAGAAGGGGGAGGGGGCAAGGCGAAGGCGGCCTAGGACAGTCACGTGCCCACTGCTTCCGCCGCCGCTAGCTGATACCTCGCGAGAATACCGTTTTCCCCACCCGTTCTGTTCCGTGGGCTGTCGGGAAGAAGGTCGCCTTCTCCTGGGTGCCACCGGCAGGTCAGCCTGTGCGTCTGTGCGCACACGCCCCACCCCTGCCGCCGCCGGCGTAGTCCGACTGGTAAGGCCCTAGGGCTATTTTCAGAACCTTGGCATTGGCTAGCAGTCCTTGTGCAGTTTCTGACACTTGACGAGCTCTTCATTGAGCATGCTAGAAAAAAAAAATTAACGTAGTCATTGTTCTGAAGCTCGCTTGAGCTTTATTGAACTTGATTGACTCGAAAACCGCAGTGAGCCTCTGGGCTCGTCCCTGGTCATTACCTCACGTAGAACAGAGCTGGACTGTCCCATTGTAGACTTTTCTGCATCCACCATTGCTGCATACCAGGGCTTCCCCGGTAGCTCTTTGCTTGTTCGTTTTCATGTTTTCATTATTCAGACTAACACAATAACTTCTTGGTCACCCTTTGACAAGAGAATGCAGCTTGACGCTGTTACTTAGGTGATAGGCATGCCTGGGCGTTTCTTACCCCCTTATGGCTGAGCATCTTTTTCGTCCTGTGCTGAAAACAAACTGCACTCGTGTTTTGACCATTGAGTGTGTGAACTCAGCCAGGCAGTGGTGATACACACCTTTAATCCCAGCACTTGGGAAACAGAGGTAGGCTGATCCCTGAGTTCTAGGCCAACCTGGTCTAAAAAGAAGTTCCAAGACAGGTTACACAGAGAAAAATGTGTGAGTTCTTCCAGAAAATTATGGGCCTGTATTCTAGGTTTTTGTTTGTTTGTTTGTTTTGTTTTGTTTTTTTCTGTTGCTACGATAGAACAATCACCAAAACCAACTAGGGAAAGGAAGGGCTTATTTCATCTTATATTTTATAGTCCGTCATCCAGGCAAGCCAAGGCTGGGTATGGAAGCAGAAGCTGAAGCACAGATTATAGAAGAGTTCAGCTGTTTACTGGCTTGCTTTTTATAAAACTGGGCTATCCTACACCAATTGAGAAGATGCCCCCACATGCACTCATCCCTGCTATGAGGAGATATGCATTGAATCTTGTTGAATTTTTTCAACGTCAGTAACCAATAGATACTCACTAAGCATGTGGGAGCTATGGTCTGGAGGAGAATCAAATGGTGAGTGTTGAACAGAATTTTTCACTACTAAAACAGTTCTTAGCCTTTTGCTGTTGTTTGTATATATTTATTAAGCTAACAACTGTTAAGACACCAAATATGCCTTAAATGCATTCTTTAGAGTTAGTAATTGAATCTGCACGAGCATAGTATAAGATAGGATCATCATTGGTATTTTATAGGTAAGAAAATAAGTCAAAAAATATTATGTCACTTGATTTAAGAGAAGAAACAGAGAGCAAGTGGGTGCCCAGGACTCTTGTTGCAGAACTGGGTACAAATGCTACTTAGCATTAATATTAAGGTCTGTATCAGGTGAATGTTTACAATTAGGAAATGGTTGTACCAAAATTGTAATTGGTTGAAATAGGTATCCCTCTAAATTAAAAACTCTTTAACTACAAAGATGGACATTTGTTTCTTTCTCAGTAAGTACCTTCCTTCTTCCCATATTATGAAATGCATATTTAACTCCATAAGATTTGTATTGGATCATTTTTAAAGAAACTAATAAAAATGGGCCTATAATTTCAAAAGGAAAAGAAAATGCTCCCACAGAGTTCCTTATCCACTACTCTATTGGAGGCAATTCCTCTGTTGAGATTATCTTTTTGCCAAGTAGGTCTAGGTTTAGGTCAAGTTAGAAAAAACTATGACAGTGCAGAAAGCACATATAGTAATAATAAGAATTCTGACTTTGTATGCATACATTTGGATTATAAATGTGGTTTTTTGTTTTGGTTTTGGTTTTTGTATTGTTTTGTTTTTTAAATTTATTTATTTTATTAGGTATACAGTGTTCTGCCTGCATGACAGAATAAGGTACCAGCTTGCATTATAGATGGTTTTGCGCCACCATGTGGTTGCTGGGAGTTGAACTCAGGTCCTCTGGAAGAACAGCCAGTACTCTAAACCTCTGAACCATCTCTCCAGCCCAAGTCACTTTTTTTTTCAAATACAGGGTTTCTCTGTGTAGCTTTGGAGCCTGTCCTGGAACTCACTCCATGTACCAGGCTAGACTCAAACTCACATAGATTCTCCTGCTCTGCTAGGATTAAAGGCGTGTGCCACCACTGCCCCAGGCTGCATGGAAATGTTAAATATAGATATTTAAAATAATCCCATTTACCCATTTCTTTTAGGAACATGTTTTGAACACTTAAAAAATAATTGTCTAAATGAGTGTCCTAAATATTGATTTTCTTCTAACAGTTTCATAGTTTGTAGTCTTACATTTAGGTCTTTGATACTTTATGGGAATTTTTACCTATAGTATAGAATGTTGTGCCCACTGAGACAAGCAAGAGGGTTCCTCAGACATATTTAGAATAAGCCCTAGGAACATAAAAGACAAAGCCAATGAGATGGTTCAAGCTGGTAAGGGTATTTGCCGCCAAGCCTGACAGACCTGGGTTTGATCCTCAGAAGCTACAAAGAACTATCTCCTGCAGGTTATCCTCTGAGAGAGACAGGGAAGAGATGGAACTAAATTTTTAGTGTTTACCTAGTATTTGAAAAAGCCCTGGGTTCAATCCTTAGCACCATAAAAAAAAATAAAAAAAAAAAAACAGGACCTGGTGTATACAACTGTAGTCCAAGCTCTGGGAAGGTAGAGGCACTCAAATCAATAGATCAAGGTCATCTACTCTGCAGTGAGTTCAAGACCACCCTGAGCAAGTCACATGAGACCATGTTTCAAAGCTGTGCTGTTGTTTGTTTGTCTTAATAAGACAGAAGCCAGTGACATAACCAACCTGAAGACCTGAGTTCCATCCCTAAAACCCATGTGGTAACCAACTTCCACAAGTTGTTCTCTGACCCCACACATACACATGCCATGGCAGATAGAGACCTACATTAATACACAAAATAAAGGTTTGAAAAAATGAGATTTTGGGAGGGGAGATGGTTTTTCCCCCCATATAAAGCCCTAGCTGTCCCAGAACTCTCTATGTAGACCAGGCTGGCCTGGGACTCACAGAGATCCTTTTACCTCAGCCTCTTTGAGTACTGGGATTAAAGGTGTGTGCAAACATACCCAACCCTTAAGACTTATTTTTATTTTGTGTGAATTCCTGTTTCCCGAAGAGGGTATGGGATCTCTTAGAAGAGAGGTATAGATGGCTGTGAACTGCCTGTGGTGCTGTGCTAAGCCAGCTCCCAAGACTCTTTCTGTTTTTATTTTATTTTTTTAAGATTTATTTATTTATTATGTGTACAACATTCCTTCCATGTATACTTGCATACATGTCTCATTACAGATGGCTGTGAGCCACCATGTGGTTGCTGGGAATTGAACTCAGGACCTCTGGAAGAGCAGTCAGTGCTTTTAACCTCTGAGCCATCTCTCCAGCCCCCTATTTTTTTTTTATTGACATTTATTGAGTTCCTCATTTTCTCTGCTTCCCCTCCCTGCATCTTCCGTCCCCTCTTCAATCCTTCCCCAAGGTCCCCATGCTACCAATTTACTCAGGAGATCTTGTCTTTTTATACTTTATACTTCCCATGTAAATTAGATCTATGTAAGTCTCTCTTAATGTCCGCATTGTTGTCTAAGTTCTCTGGGATTGTGGTTTGTAGGCTGGCTTTCTTTGCTTTATGTTTTAAAAACCACCTATGAGTGAGTACATGTGATAACTGTCTTTCTGTGTCTGGGTTACCTCACTCAAAATAATGTTTTCTAGCTCTATCCATTTTCCTGCAAATTTCAAGCTGCCGTTATTTTTTTCTGCTGTGTAGTACTCCATTGTGTAAATGTACCACATTTTTCTTTTTTTTTTCTTTTGGGTTTTTGAGACAGGGTTTCTCTGTGGTTTAGAGCCTGTCCTGGAACTGTTGGACTCTGGCGTCCAAACACCGAGAAGGAGTCGCCCCCAGAGACCACACACCACAGCCGCTGCAAAAGCATGAGGATTTTTATTAATTCTGTCATGACAGGGTCCCCCAGCATTCAGGAAGCCAAGGGACCTCGAATAGCGGGTACAGTCTACTTTTAAAGGGGCCACAGAAGCAAGGGGGGTTGTTCTTGGACTATTCTGATTGGCTTATTTGAAAGGGCTAATACCAATAATTGACTGGAGAGCTGTTGCCAGATCAGATGAGGTAAGAGGTCATTTTGACCTCGTTTCCCAGGGGACAGAACCAAAGCATAAGTATATGGGTAATTGTTCAGGAACTGAGTACATGCGAGTGTAGCTGTTAGGTCCTTGGTTCCCAGGGGAGGAGGGGAAGCACTATGGCACAGAGGCTGAGAGGATTCAGAATTGTCAAAAATGGCTTCAGGATTGTCTTAAAGTCTTACAGAACCAGCTCTTGTAGACCAGGCTGGTCTCGAACTCACAGAGATCCGCCTGCCTCTGCCTCCCGAGTGCTGGGATTAAAGGCATGGGCCACCACCACCCGGCTGTACCACATTTTTCTTATCCATTTTTCAATCAAGGGGCATTTAGGTTGCTTCCAGGTTCTGGCTATGACAAACAAAGCTGCTATGAACATAGTTGAGCACATGTTCTTGTGGCACGATTGAGCATCCTTTGGATATATACCCAAAAATGGTATTACTGGGTCTTGAGGAAGGTTGTTTCCTAATTTTCTGAGAAATCGCCACACTGACATCCAAAGGGGCTGTACCAGCTTGCATTCCCACTAGCAATGCAGAAGTGTTCCCTTTACCCTCAAAACTCTCCAGCATAAGTTGTCATCAGTGTTTTTGATCTTGGCCATTCTTACAGGTGTAAGATGGAATCTCAGAGTTGTTTTGATTTACATTTCTCTGATGACTAAGGATGTTGAACATTTCCTTAAGTGTCTTTCAGCCATTTTAGATTCCTCTGTTGAGAGTTCTCTGTTTAGGTCTGTACTCAATTTTTTTTATTAGATTATGTGATCTTTTGGTGACCAATTTCTTTTTTCTTTCCAATTAATTATGCAGTCAGTCACACGTCACAAGCACACACGGTATACAGAGTACAGTACAGTCCAAGCACAAGCACAGAGACAAACAGACACACACACACAGCACAGACAGACTCATTTACCTGGGACTCAAACCAGCGACCTCGGTCTCCGCGGGCGGCACTCCGTGCCGCTTGGTGACCAATTTCTTGCGTTCTTTGTATATTTTGGCGATCAGACCTCTGTCTGATATGGGGTCAGTGAAGATCTTTTCCCATTCTGTAGGCTGTCATTTTGTCTTGTTGACAAAATGCTTTACAGAAGCTTTTCGGTTTCAGGAGGTCCCATTTATTGTTTCTCTCAGTGTCTGTGCTGCTGGGGTTATAGTTAGGATGTGTTAGTAGGGAGGCATTCAAGGGCTAAAACCCAAGGGATTCCTCTGTTGTTGACGTTAATGCCTCTACGTTCTAATGAGCATCCATGCAGCAGAAAAAGGAAAAACATAGTTATAATAGGGCAGCAAACAGTTGGCACAACTATTTGAAGTCTCTCAGTGGCTATGAGTTTTCCTTGATACAGTGTTTCACTGTGTAACTCAACTCAGCCTTGAGTTCCACGTGTTCCTGATTTAGCCTCTCGGCACTGAGATTACAGATGTCTGTGTCACCATGCCTGGCAACAGAACTTTCCTCTCCCTCCTCCTCCATTTATTTATTTATTTATTTATTTATTTATTTATTTATTTTCAAAACAGTTTTTCCCTGTGTAACCACCCTTGTTGTCCTGGAACTCACTTTGTAGACCAGGCTAGTCTCAAACTCAGAGATCTGCCTACCTACCTCCCGAGTACTGAGATTAAAGGTATTCATTACCACACCTGGCCTCCTCTTTTTATTTTATTTTATTTTTTTAAATATTTATTTATTTATTTTTAAATATTTATTTATTA